GCTGATAAGTTGATTTATCAGCTTATTGAGAAGTGAAGTTGTGACGGAATTCAAATAAATTGGATAAGAAATGTTCTTTATATAGCTTTTTACGCAGGCTACATACTAGTATAACGTGTATAATTAACATGAATCATAATAACGATAATTACATTCTTCCGCTTCTTATTAATATTTCATAATAATAATTCCGCTTCTTATTAAAATTCATAATCAAACGTTTATTTGCCTTCGATCCATGTTTGTACAAAGAAAAAGAAGAAGAAGTTGTATCAGGATCTTTTTGTTGTGTTCTCTTTCAACTTTCAATACGAACTCACTCGCTGCTCGCAGGCCGCTATGTTTCAACTCCCGTTTATGTTCAGCTTCTTACTCTCTCGAGAGAGGATATGCTCTCTCAGAAGCTCTATCAGAAGTGTGACCAGCGCTTACAATATAATACAATAATCTATGTTTGTATACATAATTAATACCCAGCCTGTTATCAAAGGAATGCTGTGAATATATTTAATTATGTATAAATATCATCAATATTATTATTGCATCTTAGAGTTATTTTAGTTCGTTAATATAAGTTAGTCATTACATTAAATAATACATAATTTATTATCTATCTTACCAAACTTCTATAATCAGCGTGTTAAAATAAAAATGATAGTTCAATAAGTTTACTAATTTTATCTCGGTGTCTGCCTAACAGAGCCGTAAGCTTAATTAGCTTAAAAACAACAAAAAAAGAAGTAAAAAATAAGAAAAAAAAAATAGCATTAATTACCGCGGCAACTTCTGCGTCGTCGCCTATCTCGCAATGAGTCGCATTAATTGGACAGCCTGAAAATTCATCTGGTTTTTGGTCATTTGGTCATTCTTCTTGCCACACAATTGCGACAAGTCGGTGGCTAAATGGCGAGCAGATTTTTTGGCCCGGCCAGCCATTCTCCGCATCTTGGCCAGATCGAATTGACCAATCTTCGACAGGGGACTTACAAGTATCGGATGAGGGAGGTGGTTGGGGTTTCTGCTCGGGGGCTCTCATTAGACCAGTCAACCGTTTGACATTTAAGCGCGACGACCTCACGCATGCGTGCTTAGCTTTACATTTTGGTTTTGTTGGTATTTCCTCAGGGCTCATGTCCATAGGCAGAGTTACAGAGAGAAAAATTTCGGGTTATAAGAGTTGGGTATGATATATTTTAAGTTATTTTTTGGATACTAATTGTATAGCTTTGATATTTAAATGGGAATATCTTCAGGGGGAACAAAAATCATCATAAGTTTTGGAATAGTTCCATTTTTATATATAACTTTATATCTTATTTTATCATCTATAATATTTGTTAATTTATTACACAACATTTTCTCCCAGTGTCCACATATTCGACTCTTGGCTATCAGCAAGCCATTGTTTATTTTCCAAGACGGGGCTGGCTCAAAGACCTCGGACCTTCGATACGGGGCTTACCCATCGCTTATGGCCAAGCTAAATGCCCCAGCTCAGTCACTGATCCGCCCCAGGTCAATCAGATTCCCAAATCTAATGCTACACGATAGTCTCTAAGACACGAAAGATAATTACACAAAATTGTGTGTTTCAAATCTGTGTGCCAGCTAAGTATAAGTTAGGCTTTAAACGCTCCCAACACTTTCGTTTGAGGAAAAAACTAAAACTGTACGAAAAATAATAGATTAAAATTGTATAATCAGTATTAGGCAGCCGGCAATTGGCAATCATTTCTGGGTATAAATTAAAATTATATTACAACATTTTCTTAGTCAACAACAATAACAAAGAGAGAGAGAGGGAGAGAGAGACTGATTACAGGAGAGACCAAATCGAAAATGCACTCAACCATCCAGCGAAACAGCAACTAAAACTAAAAACTAACTAACTATTCGGACTAACTAACCGGGCTGAAACTGACCTGCCCGAAAACAGAAATGTTGAGCGGACCATCGACTTGGGCAAAATGAAACGAGACGATGCGAAGGCGGTCGAAAGTGAAAGTTTTGTTGTTGTTACGGCTAATGTCGGTGCTGCCGGTGCTGCTTGCCTCTACCGCTTTTCGATTTACTGTTAAACGGGGGCGCAGTCTCCAATGATTGCCGCATTGGCAGCATCACGCGAATTGCAGGCTGCAAATTCATTTGCCGCATCCGAATTAAATAATTTTGATTGCAGCGCCAGCAATCAAATGGGAGATCTCTTTAAGGCAGTGCGGTTTAAGGGGTGTTTTTCTACTGACTTAATGATACCCTATACTAGGTGGTTAAGCTTAATGGTAATAAGAAGGAATAGATGATGATTTTTTATGATATTTAAGAGAAGCCACTCCTTTCCAAACTTTGGAAAAAAGATAGATAAAGTTCCTTAATGGACTGTAAAAATATCTTTAAGTTGCAATACAACCTCCTTAACATCTACTAAACGTACTTTAATATATAAAGCATATACCCTTACATACCCCTTAATAGTCGCATCATCATCGTCATCAATCCCCTGGTAGTGGCCATTGCCAAATGCGGCCAACCCGCTGACAACTTGCAACTTCCTGCAATGCGACAAAAAGCAAAAACGAAACCCGTTGTCCGCAACTTCAAGTGGCATCTTCAGGCCACAAATCTGCTCTTTTCCACAATTTTCCTCTATTTTTTTGTTTACTTTTTTTTCTGTTTTTATTTTGTTTTTTGTTTTCTTCCATCATTTCGTCTCCTTTTTGTGCCCATCAATTTTCACTGCCACTGATTAATATGATACGATTCGGGATGCCACTGCTAGCCGCGTTACATAATTGATCTTTTGTTTAGAGTCTATAGCTTAATTGAGTCTGGCCAATTGATTAATGAGTAGCAAGCAGCTTCATTAAAAGTGACTCGTGGTAGCCCTCTTTGAAGGGGAAATGCAGTTTAATAAGGGGTTATTTCTATATATATATATATCTTTTTGTATTTATGAGATTTCAACACTGAGTGCTCTAGTGATCAATCTGTGATATGAGCTTAATTAAAGTTTTATCTTAAAGCTCAATTTAGTGTTAAACAAAATGTGGAAGCTATAAAAACAAACATAGGAAAATGGTAGTGATTAAGGTTTAAAATAAATTGTATTTAATTATATTAAAGTGGTAAAAAAAATCATAGAAAATTGGAGAATTATGACACCTTTGAAAAAATATGTAATCCAAAAATTGATTGATAAAATAACTTGAATTTCCAGTAAAAGGAATAACAAACAACATTCTTAGTACAGATCTTAAGTTCCTTAAAGCAACCTCTCCTAAGCCCCAATGTTTACTCAACTTTAACTTAATAGAGCTTGCCTTCATTCATAGTCCATTTGCGGCGCCATTCATAACCTGAAGTCACATCAAATCAATAGAAAGTGTGGCAAACTCTTTGGCCAACCCACACTCACACACACTCTGATTATGTACAGTTGACATAGTTGGCCAGGCAAGCAGAATTCTGCGATATGATGACTTGGCCAGGTTATCGATTCAATGGGCAACTAATTGCTGGCCTAAATGGATGCTTGACTTGACTTCAGTTTGCCCCGGAGGGGTGGGCATATGGTAAATGGATAAATACCGCTCGACACGCACTCACCGCCACACAAATTGTTCACAAAATAATGCATAAATTTGCATTATTACCGCGGCTGGCAAATTGCCAAACTCTAAACGTTTACATTTTGCATAAATCATACTTCTACGACTATAACTTAGAAGTTAAAACGAAATTCAAGCGAAATAACTTCAGAAAATATAAGCAGACAAGTGGGTAATGTAAGTGCTCTTCAAAAATCAAAAAAATCAATCCAAAGCCAATTAACGAAACTGATTTCGTGGCCTTGACCAAAAAATCACTTAACAATACCGTCAACGGCATATAATAAAAATGCGTTTATGGAATAAATAAACAAACAAAGCAACAACAACCAAAAAGCAATACAGAAAACAACAACAAAAGACTCGAGTACTAAGAGCAAAAAATACAAAAAGCTCATGAACCGATTGTTTTCATTTTGATTTTTTGTTGGTTTTTTCTGGGGCTTCACGCACTTCTAAGTGCAGTGGGAAAAAATAAAAAACTTTGTAATAATAGTAGTAATTGCTCTTGATTATCAGATTCATTGAGCATGATCATGTTCAGTTGTATCTTGGATGGAGGGAAATTAAATTAAATTAAATTAAAACAACATGTGAGCTAAGTAAGCTGGAGTAGGTTTTCTGAGTATTACAAAGCAGTTTATTTTAGATTGAAGTTGAATTTTAGATTGAAGCCTAATGTTGCAAGGCTGAAGTACAAGTAAAAACACTTTTACTAGTAATAACAATTAAGACTATTTAAAAATGCAAAAATAAATGCTAAATTAATGGTTATTCAAGAAAATTCAGATTTTAATACGTTAAGCAGCATTTACAATTCTAAGTAGGCTTATTAAATTATAAACATTTTATTAATTTATTATTTATAACTATATAAAAGTCTGAAATCGATTACGAAGTTTAATAGTTATTGCAGAAATTACAAGCTAAAACACTTTAAAAAGAATTTACAAATCTCAATGTTAAATGGTTTCTGCGACTATAATAAAGTTTATCATAGAAATGACAAACTAGTATTCGTTATTGAAAATGCAATTTAATAAACTTAATATGTGTAATCCATTCTTTATAGAAATATTAAAGTAAATTAAACTATAAAGTGTATTTAAACTATAGCCAGGGTTAAATCTATGTCTATACTTTATGTGGAAAATAAATGCTAAACTAATATTTATTGCAGAAAATACCAGCCAAAGAGAAAAAATTCTTAGTAGGAATATTAAATCATATTTACCTTTTAAACATTGTATTATACCATATAAGAAAAGGCGAACAAAATGTTTAAGCAGCTTTAAAAGATTTTATTACCTATTTGCTTAGCATACTTTTAGGACACATCAAAAACAATCTGCATGTAGTTAATATGTAAAGTAAGAAAGTTATTAAGCAAAGCGCCTAAAAATTTTAAATTTTTGTCAGAACTTGTTATTTATTTATTAAAAATGGGTCAAAATGTACCTATTTCAAAAAACCAAATCTATTTATAAACTAAAATAAGCAAACTTTGTACAGAACTCTCATTTAACCCTTAATATTTAACATAAATATTAATGCTAATATACGCAATCATATGGCAATGGGCCACAACCTGCGAAAGTGTTCTGTTCATCTGCCAATGCCAAATGCCAAACACTGTCACCATAAAATTATCAACGTTTGCTCAGGTGCTTTGAGTCTTGGCCAAACGCTCTCCATGGTCGAAGCATAGAAAGTCGAGCGACTATAAATAGTTGCAAACTCTTAAGTTAGCAGACAGTTAAGTTAATTACTAATAAGCAAGCAAAATGAAAAGCTATCTATCGACAATCCTGTTCTTGGCAACACTGGCCTGTGTCTTCCTGCCCAGTAGCTGTTCGAGTAACAGTTCCTCGCCCAAGGTCTGTGTCCTGAGGAACTGCGACTGGAGCTCCACGACGAATGTCTGTGCTCGCTATGGTCGCTCCAATCTCTGCAATCGCTTCAAGAACAGCTGCACCCTGCGTTATGAATCCTGTGGTAGTTCCTCGTCTTATAAGTCGGTCAGTCTTTCGGAATGTTCTGGCATAAGTGTGGGCAACCGAGGAATCTGCGGAGGATCTTCGTCATCGTCATCGTCATCCTCTTCATCATCTTCGAGTGTCAAACCCATTATTATACGCAGGGGTTAATTGTTGTTTTTGTTAATAAAAGTATTTTAACTAAGTAATATTTGAGTTTTTATATAAATCTCTTTCGTTAATTATAATCTCCAAGAATCTCTCAAAGAATTTAACTTATTTTCTATTTACTAAAAATTTCTTTAATGTCCAACCAAATCAATATCTAACAAGCAGGAAATGAAATAACTCAAAGCCTTTTTTAAGCTTTATTGATATTGAATTATGTTTTTAAGTACAAAAAATAAATAATTAAATAAACTTATCATACAAAGACAATCCCAAGGCTGGAGAACCAAAATCTAATGCAAATTATAAATATTTAAAATATTTGTTTGCCCAGCTGACAATTTGCATTTTATTATGTATATTAAACTAGAGCAAATTGTTTTCTTTATTTTTTTGCAAAACAAAACAAATACATGATGAGAGCGTATAAAAGGCCAGATGCCGAATAATTCCATTTAAATTAGTTGCAAGTTGAAAGCGCGATGAGAGCATCATTGTCTATATGTATCATCCTGTTGGCGGTTTTTATCCTCAACGTTTCCGGCGATAACAGCACTAATGATGCAGGGTTCGAAAATCGTATTAGTACGTTCCTGACACGCTCTAAAACTAGATCTCGTAGAACACAGGCTTGCCGTCGGAGTGTCCAGAAGAATTGCTCATCCTCAACGAAGACCTGTGCCCGCCTTGGGAAGGCCAACATCTGTCAGGCTTTCCAGAACGACTGCCAGCGTCAGTTAAGCAATTGTGATAATAAAAAATGTGAGTAGATATCAGAAGTTAAAGATTTTACTACCCAAAAACCATTTGATTACAGTCTATCGCAAAGTGGAACTGAATCTATGCCGCGGCATGCCCATCGCTGTGGTTCGACCCTGTGGCAGTGGCTAATAGGAAAAGATTCCTAAAAAAAGAGTACATAATAGGTTTTGATAACTTTCTTAGGCTTTTTTATATAAGCTGTATATGGAAAATCATTAGAGAAATACTACTAAACTACTACATTTTTAATTCTTCTGTAGGAACTATAAAAATTCTGTACTTAAACTTTAATTTCTTAGCCAGAAAAATATGTAATATTAGCTACCGTCTCTATAAGGAAATTTGTATTCACAGCAATTCCATTTCGACTTTAAATAAATAAATTATTCCATAACCACAAAAGTTAGTAAAGTATACGAGGTCTTAAATTAAATAAAACATCTTAAATTAAATAAAACATCGTCGTGGAAATAATCAATGTTTGAGGGAACATGCCCAATAATCATAAATTTATGCCCATTTCTATCGTAAATCCACTGATAAGAAACCAAATTTATATTTTATTTAAGGTGTTTTGAGGAGCGCCACCTGTTTATAAATATTTTACAATTTATAATTATACAAAAATATGTAAACTGTGCAAAATAAAAGGCCAAAAGATCTAAAACTTATTTTAGCATCGCTGCGACTGCGTATTGACAGCGATAAAGAATAAAAATGTAATGGGATGAGCCGAGCGATCGACGACTCGCCAGCGCTTATCTCGGCTTGTCTAACAGATAAGAATGATAATGCTGAACAAATTGTAAGCCATTATTTTGGTATTAGCTAAAAGGCTGCTCCCGACATAAACGATTAATTAAGAATTATAAAATTGTTGTTATAGTTGGGATCGAATTGTAATATTTATATTTTTTATAAAAATTTATTTTCATTTGGTAATTATAATTTTGACAAAATTATTTATTTATTTGCTGAGATTTCTGTACATCTAAAAAAATTGAATTTCTTTTACAAAAATTATGATTTTCTGGTTCTTTGATGATGTCTTCAACTGGATCTGCAACAAATCATAAAATATTTGTTAACTCAATTAGCGTGCTGGATTTAATAGACGTTTTAAAGTTGTTACCTTGTTCCTGACTTCAGTTATGGAATATTATTTAGGGAGATTTAAAATATTTTATTGATCTTTCAACAGGAAGCACTTTCTTATTAGTATGTACACCTTCCTGCATGATCTCTATGTCGGCACGTAGAGTGCCAATCATCATTAAGTTGCATAATTATGTAAAACAATATAGCCAGCATCCACTTTATTTTCATTTTGAAGAAACTTTTACACTTTCGTGTTGCTTGTTCTGAAATTGGTTTGCTACTGATTTTGGGCATCCGACAGAGGTTATATAAGAAAGGAAGGCTTAGTAAATGAGATAAGAGTAGAGTAAATATAGAATCGTATACATTGCATTGCAGCCCAAATTACTTCTAGGCTAGCTATCTTTGAGACCCGCATGCATAGAAATGTAATGACCGCAGATAACCCCGACGTCCATACGTTTCCGGCTGTGTCAAAGATTATGATTATATTGCCTATTATTCGTCTTCTATTTTTTTTTTAAATCTTTAAAATTAATCAACTAGAAGTAAAATTATAATTAAAACTTAGAAGAAGTTCGAAGTTCGAACAAAGTTAGTTATTTATTTGCGAAGTTTTCTGTTACAATATTCTAATTATTCGATGACGTCTTCAACTAGATCTGCAAGAAATCATTAAATATTTGTTAACTCAATTAGCATGCTGGATTTAATAGACGATTTAAAGGGCTTACCTTGTTCCTGGCTTCAGTTATGCAATGTTATTCAGAGAGAGACAAAATAGTTCATTGATATTTCCACACTGAGCCCTTTATATTTAGTCTATACATTGTCCGCGGTGATTTCTATTTCGGCAAGTCGTTTTGAGACCCGAATCTGTAAGACTATAATACAATTGCATAATGAGATAAGACAATATAGCCAGCATCCACACTATTTTCATTTTAAATAAAAATCGTTTTTCACTTTCGTCTTGTTTGTTCTGAAGATGATTTGCTACTAATTTTTGGCACCGAACTGAGCTTAAATAAGAAAGGAAGGAATACTATATGACATAAGAGTAGAGTAAATATATATAATCGTATATATATTTTATAAGTGCCAAAATGTCTTCTCGACTAGATAGCCTTTGACTTAAAAGCTCTTCCATAGAAATATAATGACTCTAGATAACCCCGACATGTGTCATAGATTATAATTATATTGTCTTTATCTAAACCTTAAAAATTCCGGAAGTAAAAGTAAAATTAATATTAAAACTCAGATGAAGTTAAAAGTTTGACAAATTTAGTTATTTATTTGCTCAGTTTTCTGTATATCTATGAAAAATAATTTTTTTTACCCAAAATTGTGATGTTTTTGTCATTCTATGAGGTCTTCAACTGGATCTGCATAAAGTTATGAAATATTTAATAACTCAATTATTGTGCTGAATTTTATAGAGGATTTAAAGTACTTACCTGGTTCCTGACTTCAGTTATGCAATGTTATTCAGAGAGAGACAAAATAGTTCATTGCTATTTCCACACTGAGCCCTTTATATTTAGTCTATACATTGTCCGCGGTGATTTCTATTTCGGCAAGTAGTTTTGAGACCCCACCTTGTACGACTAGAATACAATAGCATAATAAGGTAAAACAATATAGCCAGCATCCAAACTATTTTCATTTTAAATAAAAATTGTTTTTCACTTTCGTCTTGTTTGTTCTGAAGATGATTTGCTACTGATTTTGGGCATCAAGCAGAGGTGAAATAGGTAAGGATGGAATAGTATATGAGATAAGAGTAGAGTAAATATAGAATCAAAGAGATTGGAAGCCAAAAGGTTTTCTTGACTAGCTAGCTTTAAGACCCCAAAATCATAGATTATAATGATATTGCCATGTTATTCGTCCTCGCCTATTCTTTCTAAATCTTTAAAATAACTCAACTAGAAGCAAAATTTAATGAGTTTGCAGATAAAAGTCAAAACAGCAGGTCGGTTTTTTGTGTTTTGTTCTACATAATCAGCTTCTTACCAGAAACAGAAACAAATTAATCTAAAACATGAAATAAGTTTGAATTTTTTTATAAAGTTTCCCCGAAGCTCAAACTTATATGCAAGCTGCCCAAAAGTATGCTTCGAAACCTAATTTTTTTTATTTCAAGTGCAAAATTTATAACTTTAAGCCCCTCACGTGGCGTGTTATTTGCGTTGTCGAGATGAATTTAGATATATTTGCACAATTGTGAGGAACTTAAGCGAATTTACTAAAGAATGAACAAAGACCAAGCTGAAAAATGTTGAATTAAAATAACTTTTTTGTACTTAAAAAGGAAGAAAAATGAAAGTAAACATCTTCCAAGGTCACTAGTCCCAGAACAAAGATTGAAGAGTATAAATATGGCAGAACCTGATCGAAAATAAAATTAGAAATGCGTTTGACTTTGGCTCTTTTGGTGGTGATCGCTCTGATCACCGTGGCCACCGATGCCCAAAGGAATCAGAAAAGGACTAAAGCCAAGGCTAGGACATCGGTTACATCAGGCACAAAGGCCAGGGTTAAGACTCGTTCGGGAAATGTGAAGAAACGATCTCTTGCTACTCGCAATCGCAAATCGGTTATTATCATCGGCAACGGAAGTAGTTCCTCAAGTAGCAGTTCTTCCACTCCTGCCGCCCGATGCTCTACCACCACTACCAGCTGCTATGCTAACTCCAATGTCTGCGCCCGCTGGAGCTCCACTCGCAGGTGCCATCGGTTTAAGAACAAGTGCCTCATGGAGCGGGCCAATTGCCGGACAACAGTGTCGAGTGAGTATTTACTGAATCTTAATAACTTCTCTTAAAACTAAACTAAATTTATTAGAAACTCCCTGATATTAATCCCCATAAATCATCATATATTAATCTTAAAATGTAACATTTTTAACAGGCTGGAATGTGGTCAATATTGGCAACTGTACTAGCATAACGGTCAATAATACTGGCACCTGTACCAGCACCTTTTCATCATCATCTTCAACGACTTCGACTACCAGCTCTACATTGGCCAGCATACTCTCCTCCATTCTGGGTTCGTCATCGTCATCTTCATCTAGTGTCACGCCCATAATTATAAGAAGAGGTTAACTAAAAGAGAGTCACTAAAAGCACGCTCCCGCCCACAATTATAAGAAGAGGTTAACTAAAAGAGAGTCACTAAAAGTAACTACATTCCTACATTCTAGAAATAATTAAAAAATATTAATAAAGCTGGCCTGGCTTATTGTGTATTTTGATTGATAACAAACAAAGCTCTTTTGTTCTACTCATTTTGCAGAGTTAATTAAAAATGTTACCTATACATGCCTATATATATATATGCCTATATATACATTGACATTTCCTTTAACTGCTTTTCAGTTTGCCCTCCCAGCAAGGACATTTTAAAATCAAACAAAGCAAGACCAAAGTGATTTATTCTTAAATTATGCTAATATTTTGAACTTTCACTACCGAAATGTTTCCTAATGACCCACATTTCACAGATACAAACAATTATTTATGTGTGAGTTTGTGGGTGGGTGAGTGTATGTGTGTGTGTGTGTGTGTGCCACTGTGCCATTCTAATTGCATCCGCAGGCATTCGCCATTCACATCCGTTGGTATACAAAAAGATATGCAAAAACAAGAAAAACGTTTGGAAAATTGCGAAAAATTGCAAACTAAAAAGCGAAGCTCCATAAATTTACATTGTCCGCGCGTATGTGTGCGTTTGTGTGTGTGTGTGTGTCTGCTTGTTCGGTTGTCTGCGTGGCCATAACCATAATTTTCCCCTCGTTTTCCACCCAGCTTTTCCTCGCTGCCAAGTAGTGCGATTTATGCGAATGCAATTAAAAAAAAAAAAGAAAAGCGAAAAAAAGGGAAAATGTTAAAGCATACATCATGGCGATATGAAGGCCATTAAAAACTAAACGAGTTGCACACAAAACCGTTTAAATGAATGATTTCCCCACCGATCATCGTTGAGTTTGAATGACACATTTCGGAAATCGAACAAATTTTGCTTTACTTTTAATTAAATGAAGTGAAAAAAGTTTAATATAAGAAACTTTACATTGCAATGATTTATAAATAATGAAATAGTTAAGAAATATAAAGCCCTTTCATGTGCAGTCTCCTATGGATCCAATTGCAATATTATTCATAACACAGTTATCCAGGACACTCACTGGTGATCCAAGTTGGCCATAAACTGTAAGTAAAGGGAAGTATATGGCAAAGGTTTTAGGTCTGGTAAGTACTAAGGTTAAACATTTTCAAACAAGCAATATATATACAGATTTCCAGCAGCTAAACCTGCTTAAATATTATTTTTGATTTATTTATAAACTAAAAAATCATAAATACTTACTTGTCGCGCCCTTGCAACTATCCAGAAGATAATCGCAATCACTACGATAGTATTTGCATGAATAAGTCGGAGTCGTTGAAGTTTGCAATCGGATGCAGCTGGGAGTGCTCTTGGAGCAAGTCCTTTTCGTGCTCCAAAGGCAGTAGAACCGCTTGCGAGCCTCCAGCTGAGCTGCCAGAGTAAGGATCAAAAAGATAGTTACTAACAAAGACAAGAACTTCATATTGGCCAAAATGGTTAACTTGGAATGATAGTTGAAGTGTAACTGCTTTTAGACAATTGGATCATTCGATTATATAGCTCTTAACTCTTTGCCTTTCGCAAATATTTAACTCTGAACGAAAGTGAAATTTGAGAACAGCCGCCGGCTTTGGCCTGTGTTTCTGTTTGCCAAAACCTGGTGTTGGAAAAAGCCAAAGCCAAATGTTTGCCCGATCAAATAGAAGGTGACAGGGCTTAGTTAATCAGCTAATGAATAAATACCAACTGTTTGTTGTGAAATTGGAGCAGATGGTGTTCAGCTTTCGGTTTTCAGTTTAACCAACAATACATTGGGTAAGGTTTTTAGAAAGTTGAATGGGTTTGTTAAAGTAGTAGTAGAGATATCAAAACTTTGTACATTCTACTAAAAATATTTTGAAATTTAACATAAAATTCTCTTTTTTCAAAGAACCTTAGATGGATGATATCATAGTAGTACCATCTGACTCATTTCTTTACCAAAAACTTGTCATTTCAACTTTCCTTGCCCACATTAGTATGATTTGCCGAAAATTTTTAATTAACATGTCCTTGGTATACAAATTTTGATGAACTTGGCGGAAACACCTTATATAATTACCCCACCGAAATAAGCCAGGATAAAAACAAGTGAAATACAATTACCAAAAGCGAGGTGCGGGGTACCCATTCGTAAGTAGAAAAGTTATCGCGCTGGCTGCCACTCGTTCTGGCCCGCTCTCCATGCGTCACAGCCATCAGTCTTCTGCCTGTCCGTCCATCATGCGAGTTTTAAGTCCCCAGTTCCCCACACTGAGAGAAAAAGCAAGCAATTAAATGGTATAACTAAGTACGTTGATCTTATGATTTCAGAAAAGTCATTACAAGCTAGATATTTCAGCTTCTGTTTTGCTTTTGAGGAAAATTGTAATATATAGTTTTATTCCTTTACATATAGTAATTATTTCTCTCAGTACACCTTACTATACCCACTTTTCTCCATTTCCATGTCAGGCCTGCGTCGGCATGTCATGTCACGGGCTCATTTCGCTGCATTTCCATGTAAAACTGTAAATGTTCCGCCTCCAAAAAGCAAATTAAAGTATATTCCCAGCTTAATGCCATTTGTTTGTTCTCAGAAAAATAACCATTCATAATGGCAAATATATTGGAATAAAGAAAAGTGTATACAAAGTTCGTGGTGGGCATGGAAAAGGTATTTTCTCCATGTATATTTCATACCTTTATTGCTGTTTGCTGTTGGCTTTTATTTTGTTTTTGCTTTTTGGTAGGTTGCATGCGTTTGTTATTTTTATTCAGTTTTTTATCGCACCTTTGTAACCCTCCCCTTTGACCTCTTTCCTATTTCACCTGGCGATAAAGTGCAGCTTAAGCTCTGGTTACCAGTATGGGTATATATATATATGTATATAAATTGCATTTGCCATGCCATGCCGTACAGAGGGCATTTCCATTTAAGCTGCTCGCCCAAAAGTAGGCAGCAACTTAAAAATGATTAATCCAAGGTGGAAATGGAAGTAAAGGTAAAAAGTTGAAAAAAAACATTGCACTTTAATTAGTTAGGACATTTTGAATGGATTGCATGTCATGGGAATGGCATGCTTATCGATATTTGTTGCCATTGTCGTTGTTCCTTTTTCCAGTAGCTTTTCTTTTTTGGAACAAAACACAAGGTCAAAAACTCGGCGGGGTAAGAATAATAAAAATGAATGAAATACCATAAAAAGTTTATTTTTAATATAATTATCGTAATCTGGACGGCAAGGCGAGAAGGCAAGACAAGGCCTTTTTTCATTCTTTTATTTTGTTGTTGTTTTTGCTGTTGCCTTTTCACTGCAGTTGTTTGCTAATTATTTTCCATTTTCATTTAACTTTTTTTTTTTGCTCGCATTCTTTTCCAAGCTGGTTTTCCCCTTCTACTTTCCACTTTGCTTAATGCGCTTTCTGACATGGCGCTGACATTTTCCGTTGTGTTTTCCTGACTTTTCTTCATTTGCTATTAATAAGCTTAAGGCCTTTTCTCACTGCGGCTTGCATGTCTTCCAGCTGCATTTCTCATTTCTTGGCCAACACTTTCCATTTGCCCTGCATTATGTATGAGCCATATTTGTCACGCTAATTGAATAATAATTCCATGTAATTTATGGGTAATACTATATATCACCCAGGGAATTTTAAATGACTTTTGAAAAATTAATTTTTCATAGCCTAACTATCGAGGACATCTCTTATACATGAAGCTGATTCATTCTATATATAACCACCCATTAATGGCCCACTTAATGCCAATCAATCGATTGAAAGAATCCTGTCGTCTTAGGTAAACAAATAAATCAAATCCTCAGACATATATATTCCGTATGTAAATTTAGTTTTGTCATTTACAGCAATAAATTTCATATTATTTTTAGCTTTATGGGGACGATTATTGGGCACATGTCTCCATATTTGACACGAACATGACACCCAGCTCAGAAATCAGCCGGATGAAGGAAAAGCGAAACACCACCATCACCTACGGGAGCACCGGTTCCAATTTCCTGTCAATACCTTGCGAACGTAAGCTATCTAAAGAATAAAACTGGGATACACTAACAGAAATTTAGATAAGGAATAATCAGCAGATTGTAAGCTCAACAAGTGAAGGAAATATAACACTTAAAAGAGGGTTTTATGGTAAAATAAAATTAATATTCAGTTTAGTTTCATATCTCATATCTACTTTCTTCTTAACTAATTATTAAGTCTGAGATTTCATACCCATTTTCTCTACGTGTATAACCAAATCTATATCTATGTATTCAGCCAAGTTTCGTGTCAGTTGAGCGTCCGCAAAAACCGATTTTCGGATAACAAAAAAAAAAAACAAAAGGGAAATAATAATAATAATAAAATGGGAAAAGGGAAAAGGAAAATAAGGGAAACCGGCGCCTGACACATACAAGAAGAAAAAAAAAAAAAAAACATTTGTTTGTTATACCGACTAAATGGGATGTGAGTGCGTGGGTGGGTTTTCCTTTTTCGGGTGGCTATAATGTAATGTAGTGGAGTGGCTCTGTTGTTGGTGGGTGGTTGGGAGGTTGATTTTTCTGCGTCGCACTCACGAATTATCGATAAAACATGCTCTCCATGGGCGGCGTGAGGTGGCTTTTGTCTCATTACGCCCACAAACAAGTATTTAAAAGGAAAAACCAGGTTCCTCTATATCGAAGGCAAGTTGAAAATTGAAAACGGAAAACGGAAAACGAAAGCAGGCAACCGAAGAAAAACTTGACTTTGTTGATTCGACAATCTTTACGATTTATTTGCGAGCAAAATCAAATTATTGCATGTGTCACAACTTTCATTTGACTCCTTTGGGTGACAAAAAGCCCAAAACAACCATAAATATACGAATATATATATCTTTTCGGCTTGTCTATAACCAAATGACAAGACCATTTGCCTTTGAGGCTCTAACACCATCACCACCCACACGTTCTGGCCATAATAAATAAAACTTTGTTCTGTCATACTTTCAGTTTTCGGGTTAAATGGTTTGTCGAAAGTTCCCAATTTCATTTTATTATTTTCCCACTGCTCTACATGATTTGCATGCACGGAAAAGTGTGAGGGGGGCTGAGGAGGAAAAATAACAACAATAAAGCACAGGGTAACAAGGAAAAATATCATAAAAAAGAGAAGAAAAAAAGGTTGAAAATGAAACTTTGATGAGCTATTACTCATATTGACAAGGACCCTCATTTGTCTAGGATGATTGGGGCAGGGATTGGACTGAAGTGATGGCGGTCCTTTTGGGCCGCATCGCGTATACGCAATTTGACCCTGGCCAGACAGTTGAGTGGAAAAGTTTGTGGTCAAAGATGATTAGCTGGCCTTTGAATGGTTTACTTTTCTAGCTCATTGAAAGTGGTTAGAACTTGAAAAAAGTTTAGGGAATTAAAAGGTGTTTTGGTAAAAATTTATATAGAAACCTATTTAAAAAGCATTTTAACACATTTTGTTGGGTTTTTTATGCTTAATACATTTTATATTTTGTACTTTCCCAAGAAAAGAAAAGAGAATAATCAATTTTGAGTAAGTTTTGTGTTCAATTTGCTTCAAAAAATGTTACTTTAAGGGAACCCAATGCGAAATATCATAACAAAGATTAAAAATTGCAAACTTTTCTTTAAAATATAAAAATTAATAAACTTACTGACAGCTCCCTTTCTTTCACTTAATTTTGTCTTTAAGTTATTACCGATGCCTAAGAGCTTTCTATGAAAAAGGTTCCAAAAATTTGGAAGGATACATTACAGCCATATTTATGGACTGATGTGTGAACACATGAGGTGGCAAGGGGCAAGGGGCAACAGGAAGTGCGGCACATGCGACACGTCAACATTCAATTTTCTAATGAAATTTTTATTATAATAAAGCACATATCTACGGCGCGGGTTGTAGGTTGTAGGCCACGCCCACTTACAGCCCATGCTAACATGTATTCATGGGAAACAGTGTTGCTTTCCTTCCTGCTCTCTTTCCCTTTTCCCTTTAGCTTTTCCGACTAACTCTGGCCAACATCCGAAAATTCGGTGTGTGTGTGTATTTGTATGTATAATGAATTCTGGCAATGTAATGGTTGGTTCTCTATGTATGTGTGTGAATGGCACTCTCTTACGACTCCGCTCTCCCTGGCGATGGTTGCCCCTCGGAAACAGAGCCCAACATGACCTACATTTCTGGATCCTGGCGTCGATGTAGCTAAGCAACTCCAGGGTCTCTGAGCCACCGCATCTCACCCTTGGCTTTAGCCAAAAAGCAGGAAGTCCTGAGGAGAGCAAGGCGAAGAGGACAGCGAACAGAGAATCGAGGCGCACGCAGCACGCATAGGAAAAAGAACGCCCCCCTTCCTGATAGTCCGCCCTATCCTGTCCTGGAACACTCTTAACCCAGTCATCTCCCTTAGTCAAGCCTTATAAAAATTGTTTTCGGTCGCTTATTGGCAACAAATTTGCGTGCCTTGCATACAGAAGAAAGGAGGGACAAAGAGAAAGAGAGAGGCTAAGAACAAACGCAGAATTCAATTCAGTAAAAATTCCCTAAAAGGTTTTTTTTGGGAAAGAAATTCCAAGGCTTGCAAGGGTGTTTTTGGACCTAACTTAAACTGTAAGTCAAGAAAATCAAAAAACTTAAAGAAAATTTAAGGTAAAGAAAATAAGTTAAAACCAGAAAGTTAGGCCTACTTCTGATTACTTCCCTATTAATACCACTTAAAGAATAACTACTGTACTCCCAACCAAGATAAGAAACCTGATAAAGGTTTCTCCCACAGCGACTTCATTACAAAGTTTGCCAAAATGTGTAGGCGCTAAATGCAACAAATACAGCAAACAATTTATTAACTTGGTCCAAAGAGATTTTCACAGGCTTCGCGAGGAATCCGGCAAATGGAAAGTAAACGGCTTGGTTTACCGCTAACAAGTGAATTCTTTTTTTTTTGTGCTCTCTCTTTTTGCTACGCAATGTCATCAATCATTTTGGCCAGGACATTTGCTGTTTGGCCTAAATTAAACAAGGAAGTCAGGAGAGATGAACTAGCGGGGAGAGAAGAGAGAAAAAAAGAAAATGGAAAAGTGGAAGTGATGGAAGGAAAACAAACCCAGTGCACGTGCGGCCATTTTGTCGTTTATTGTTGACTTTGGTCAAACAGAAAATTTATATATATATATATAAGAAATATAATATTTGAAGATGATCCCAGGCAAACGATAGTCAGCACGTGCTGGATATTGGGTGAAATAAAATATCCCTCTTATATCACAATTAAGTAGTCGCAATGGTTAGATGAAGAATAAGTTACAGTGCGTGACATAAATAGGTAAGTAAGTATCGGAAAATATTCATAATTAAATATTATTTATGAGAATTATGTTGATGATGAAATGTTATATTACCATCCCAAAAACCTTCAACTGATCCAATTAAAGTTTTATGAAACTGTTTTTTTTGGCCCCAAAAAATTCTTTTGAGAAACTTGCCAGGGTCCTTGGAATACTTGATTCGCCTATGCTGCTTGAATTTCAATTTCATTTGTTTTCCGAGCGTAGCGAAAGTTAAATCTTTCTCAACTTTTGATAGTTTATTAAATTATCACAAAAACAAAAAAGTAAGACAAGAAAATTGGAGAAAAATGTGCGCCAAAGCAGCGAACAAAAACTTTTCTAATAGCAACAAAAATTTTTGAAACAACCGAATGGCAGGAGGTGGATGGTGGGTGGTTGGCCTGGGCTAGGGGGATTCACTTTATTAGCCAAGTTAACTCTTTCCATGGCCTTTACGACAGTTTGTTCTGTCACTCGCTTCACAGTTCAGAACATTCAAATTACAGAGAAGGTTGGCAAGTCAAACCAAACGGAAGCAAAAGCCAAAAGTTCTCGGGGCAACTTGAGTGCAAGTTGGTCCATAAAAAGTGCCAAACATTACCAACTCAAAATACATGCCAGACTGCCTCCGAACAGACCCAAAAACTAGCGTCCAAAGTGTAACTGCCAAACGGAAACGAACCAGGGAACAATCCCTCTCAAAAAAAAAAACGAGGAAAAACCAAAAAGAAAAAAATCCATGAAAAATTCAGCAGAAACTTGTCCAGGTGGGCGGACTGGATTCAATGGCCAGGGATTTTTGGGCTGGGCGCCACTTCATTTGCGAATGCGAACATTTCCTTTGGTCCTCGCTCAGGTGACAAAAGCAGGTGCCCGGCCAAATGGATCCTGCCTGGCAACTGAATGCCTTCCGAGAACAAGCGACTTGTGGAAGAGGAAACTATAACTGTTCTCCAAGGCTGAATAATCCGGTCTTTGGCTATTTCTCACCCGGAAAATCTCTCTCATAAGGAAGCTTAAAATGGGATTTAGGTTTAATTTCTCTTTAAATTGATTCCAATGAGATTTGAGTAAGCTGTAAGTGCATTTTAGTTTTTTGTAATATTTTAGGAACCAAACCATAGGAACCATTTCTACTTTAAACATCCTTTTCCTACCTTTATTATCCTGAAATCCACAAAGCCATATCCCCAAATTAAAGAAACGGAAACAGTTCTAGATATCTTTTCCTTAAAACGGAACTTTTCCATCGTAACCCGTATATTATCATGAAAATCTCATCCCATCTAGCTCAAAGGAAGACCCAGGGGCATATCTTTAGTTTCCGCTGGTAAGACCCAACAACCTGACCTTCCCGTTGGCAGACCGAGCATTATAATAACACTTTCTCAAAAAGGTTCTTTATGGGGTTTCCACCCCCCAAATCCCCCACTACGAGCAACCATCCACCATTAAGCACAGTTAGTTAGTCGTTTCTTGTTTCTCGTTTCCCTTTCCTTGAGTCCATTGTTCCACGGTCTCTTCTCGTTTCTCCTCTGCCCCTTTCCTCTTCTCTTCTTCTACTTTTCGGCTAGGTATGTGCGACTATGGCCAAAAGTAATCTTCCAAGGCAAATGTGAACCACAAACAAATTTATAGCTGCAATGCGGCCAGGCCGAGCATAACGGGCCCACATTTCTGTGAAATGTGAATAGATAGAGGGGGTAGAGAGGGGTTAGAAATGAAGCTCAAAAGGAAACAGTCGAGTGAGGACGACTATAAAAATATACAACAATACTGCCAAGGCAACGGGACATAATGAGCCAGGGCCAGACGGCCCCAAACGGTAAATGGTAAGCGGTAGGGCTGTAATCGGTTAACGGTAAAGCCAAGCTCAGCTGAGCAAATGTGGGCCATCATAGAGAGAGAGAGAGAGAGTGCGAGAGAAAGAGAGAGAGAGCGCGCACCACTTTTGGACCTTTCCTTTTACTCTGCACCTTCTTTGCAGTACCGTTAGCGTTTTTCTGCTTTTGGACTTTGCATGGCCATTTGTTACGTATGCGGAGGAGAAGGACTCTCTTTTTTGTTGCTCTCTGCAGTTTTAACTTACTTTGCTGCTTATCCTAAGGCTCTCTCCCGTTTGCTAACGTTGTACCGTTACTTCCTCTCTCGTTCTCTCTATTTTATCTTTATACATTTTGCTGCATACATTGAGGCACTATCTCTGTTTTGTCCTTAGACATTCCACTCCACTCTCTCTCTCTTGTCCTTACATATTTTGCTGCACACTTTGAAGCGCACTTTCTCTCTCTCTCTCTCTATTTTTCTCTCACCGCCTGTTTATGCGTCATTTCTTTTGGCTTTTTCTTACCAGCCAAACGCAAAAACAACAACAAATATTATTTCTTGCTCAATTTTATTTTCCATTCTTTTTCTTAGCGTTCCTTTTTTTATTTCCTGCTGGTTCGCATTGCAGCATTTTACGCAGACAAGCGAGCACATTCCTTTTGGTTGAGTGAGAGAGAAAGGGCAAGAGAGAGTGGGGAGTGGGACTTTGCGACGTTTTCAGCAAATGTTCGCCATTCATTTTTGTCATCGCTGACTTTGTTGTTGTCCTTGTTGTTGCGCTAGTTGTTTTTGGCTTGCTTGGTGCCTGGAAAACTTTTTGGCCTCGCCGCAAATGCTTCTTCTTACTTGTTGCGTTTCGTCCTGGGACAAGCACAAGAAAAGGGGGAACGATATGAGAATGGAATGGGAATGGAATCGTTGGGGGGGATTTTTTCTTTTTCAGAATTTATTTTAAAACTCTTTATACGTTATTTATAAATGATATCTTCTTTATAAGTTACGATAGGGGGAAGGCACTGAAATTATTAAGGCTCTGAGATTAATTAAGAAGCGTCCTAAAAGTATGCAACAAAAAACGAAATACGGCTTACCGTAGTTTCATGACTAAGTTATGTTTGACTTTCAGAATAATAACAAGAGCTGAAACCTTTCCAACGTCAGTCTTGTGGATTGGTGATAAAATTATCCTTTTTAATTTTTTAAAATCCAAATACTTGTAATAGAAACTTAAAACATTTCGTAGCACAGTAAAACGATTTTTGGCAGATGCACCGAAGGCTTTTCAGATTGCATCCATTCTCTGGGTCCCCCTTTTATGCCAGTTTCATTAGGTAGATTTTCCACCTGAGTGAGGAACTTCCCACCACCACCCCAGCCCACAAACATTGTTCTGCATTCACAAGTTCGTTTCATGCTCTTATGGTTTTCTTTTTTTCCCCAGCCATTCCATCCTGCACCCTTCTGCATCGCTTTTTCCCTCGTTTGCTTTTGCTGCTGCAGCTTTCATTCATGCCACGTCAGTTGACATAATGCGACATGGCCACACACACACAAGCCAACAAACCACCCAACGCCCTCTAAGCCACCCACAAACACCCCTCATTGTCAACTACTGCACTTGGCAAAAGTTTCTGCCAGGCTTTTGCCATGAAAGTGCCATTCAAATCTACAGCCCCCCTCCTTTATCCTCAGCCTCCTTTTCTAGATTGCCACAAGTTTGCTGCTTGATCGAAAGGGTTTCTATTCCAAACGTTCCGGCTTTGTAGCCTAGGCAACTTGTGGTAAACACAGCAAGCCATGTTTGTTTATTCATAAAAAACAATAACAAAACTCGGCACAGAACCCGAAAAGACCTCGACATAGGCAAACACAAAACTCTTTAAAAACACACTAAGGATTGGCAAGTAAACAGTCTATAGAGGTTTTCAATATCACACCAAGTGCTTGCGTAAATAAGTTGGTCTAAAAGCATCAGAAAACCATCAGTGTTAGAAAACATTAGTAATTATTGTAAATTTCTAACCATTTAAAGGATCAAAAGTTTTTTAAGGACACTAAAAATTACAAAAGTTAAACAAACTAAAATTTTAATAATTTTTAAACAATTGAATTTAGTTTGGTAAAGATGAAATGTGAACATTTTTAAAGATTAAACAGATAAATTAAGGATCACAAAGATCAAAAAGAACTAACAAACTTTATACCCAAAGATATATTAAATCAAACCAAGATCCCTGAATCTCCTTAGCAAATATGGGTTAGTATAAATCAAAAATTCTCATGAAAAACCCATTAGATCAACCTGAAATTTTCCCAGATAAAACCGCCGAGCGTGAGGCTAGATTGGAAGGAATAGAGCGCGTGCTCAAGATGTCCCGGGAACGGATTACGATAGCTATGATCATACCAAAGCTACTGGAAAATCCCGAAAAACTAAAGAGTGTCCTCATGGGTACTTGCTATGAAGAGGTTTTGGAACCTATCGATGCCATGATTCGTCATCTGGGAAAGCAGACTGGCCGTTCCAAGCTGCCCCACGATCATACCACAATGCGAATTGTGGATTTCTTTCTAGTCAATCATAATATTCATCGATTCTTTCCGCATTTAAAGCATAATCTTCATGAAAGAGATCGCCAGTTGTTGGCTGCCTTTCACTTTCTCGTGGAGAGTGCCCATATGCACCTGCATCGATCCTCGCGAAGTGAGATCACCAAGGAGCGCAAGCTGCATGCCATCTATCATCAAAATGTGGACATACAGAAGAAAATCAAAGAACTGAATGCCAGTCTGGCCTTCCAGAAGGTCATTGGAAAGTGGAAGACAGCAGCCAAGGGTATCCACCTAATGAAAGTTGAAGAAGATCTGGCCAATAAGAAGTGGCAGAACAATGTGGCTATACAGAATGAAATGTAAGATCTTTCTAAAGTATTTTACATTCTCTTATTAACTTTATAAAAAAATCTCCCCTCACCTAGTGAAAAGTGCAATCGCACTATGCGTATCTACCACAAGGGTAGCATGGACAGGCAGAAAGAGCTGGAGGAAGAGCTAACTAATGCCCGGGAAACCTATGAAAAGATGACCAAGAAGCACCTGGCCGAAGAAGTGGAGTTACGAAGCGAGAAGTAATATTAAAGCTAAGACTAAGTTCTAAAAATCCTAAATATTATCTTCCCCAAATCAGAAACAAATTACTTCTTCAACTGCAAAGTATTATCAAGAAATACGACATGAGCTTGGGCGAGAAGATGAGAGAGAATTTGGTGGCTCAAGATCAGTTTCTGGAGGCCAAGAAGATCCTGGACGACTTTATGGTCACATTTAGGCATGAAGAGCTTATCTACAAGAACATTGTGGTGAAACGGGAAGATGAGGAGCGTCGCGTGCAGCAGCAGAAGCTGGTAATCTTTATGATGAACAGGGCGGCGGCCAAGATCCAGAAATACTGGAGGAAATGGAAGAAGGATCAGCGCAAGAAGAAGCGGGGTGGCAAGGGCAAGGGCAAGAAGGGAAAATAGTTGGAAAACTATCTCCTATTTTATTTCTACATTGTGCACTTTTTATGTAGAAATGTAAATATTCTACTAAAATTTCTAAAATCCTTATTTCGTATGCTTTCATCTGTTAAGAAGTTAAGTTTGCCTTTGCTCTTATTTTGTTTACCAGCTTGTATATCAGGCTCTTGTGGCGGAAAATGACTAAGCATGTGTACTTACACATGTATGCAAATTAATATTTTCATGGAAAGGCAAATGTTTACTTGCAATTAAATCATGTTTACTTGCCACTTGTCGCCAATACACATTTGTTTTTGCCACAGAAATGAGAGCTACTTTCTGCCTGATGATAAAAATAAATTCCATAAAAAAGGAAAAAATATTTAATAAAAATAAAAACAGCTGAGGAATGAAAGGAGAAACCAAAAGCTAAATTTTGTTGAGTTTATGAATGTTGGAAGGAAAAACTTAAGATATGAAATTTTGTTAGAAAATATTGAAACACAAATCTAGGAAAGATTAGGGCCTTTGCTCATATTTATATTATTATTTGTTAAAACTTTTTTTAATAAGTAGATTGTTTTTGTCAAATATTAAAGCTTCCTATCTCTGGGAAAAAGACCCTTAATTATGTTTAAGAATTACACTTTCAAGTGATTAACAAATAGTTAAATATTAAAGTTCTTAAAAGTTAATAAAATATATTTAGTAAGGACTATTTTCTACTTTCAGCCTAAATTAACCTCCTTACCCAATAACTTAACTAATCAACTCCTAAAACATATAAAAATCTATTAAAAAAAACACACACTTTGAGGTTATACCCATACCCAATTGCATTTGTCTCCTTATCGACTTGCGATAAATTTCACCAAAAGCATTGTCTATGTTTCGGTTTTTTTGTTGGTGGGGTGAAAGGGCGACTTGTGGGGCTTCCTCTGCGATTGCGAAAATCCAAGAGAGAGAATGAAAACGCCTGGCAGAATGTTTACCCAACACGCACACACACACACAGCAAAAGAGAAGGAGGGGGAAAGCCAAATTTTCATGTCTTGCGGGGAAAACGAAAAATGGCGCATTGCTGTCGTCGCCAAGCGACAACGGCAACTACAACTACAGCTACAACAGCGAGTACAAACGCCCTTTTGGCCCGGCCCAATGTTTGCTGCATTGTTACTTCATTTTCATTTTCGTTTTCGTTACCTAGCCCTCTTCAGCCCTCTTATCGCAAAAAAAAAAGGAAAAAAAAAGCGTAACACACCCCCAACCCGTACCCCTTGTGGCATGTCTAATTTTCCAGAGGTTAACATACTTAACTTGTTGGCATGCGTTGCAAAATGCGCCAAGGCTGCGTTGCACCAAGAGGCGCCACATTGCGACAATTTGCTGCGGCAAAGGAAATCGTACAGCAGCTGGAAAATGCGCAAAATCGCCATCCAATGGCCAAATGTAAAAATGTCCAAGTGCCCCCCATGTCCCATGTCCAATGGGCAATGGCCAATGCAAAATCCCAGTGGAATGGCCATACATTCCCGCATTGTAATTGCAACACGCATCCGCTGACCAACGATTTGTGGTCCAATATCCTTGGGCTAGCCAAAGGGTTAATCCCATGATATAGAAACTGAATCTTTTGGGTAAACAAAATATTTATTGCTGAAATAAAGAACGAAAGAAGGGAATTTATTTATTTGTTTACAAAAAGCTGATTTATTATTATATTTATTATATTCTTGTTTTAATTGTTGTTTTTTTTTAAATAAAAAATATAAAAGAAAGCTAACACTGCGTATACGTGATTTTGCTATGGGTAATCCATTTTTATGGCCACCCTGCGTATAAGTGATATTATGTACTAATAACTCACAGCTTTGGGAGGATATTCTATTAAGTTTGAAATAAAATAAAAGAAAATAAAATAAAAATTATATTTTGATATTAGTTTTTTGTCCATTTTTGTAGTTTTAACTTTCGACTCGTTGTTTTTATAAGAATATTTTCCAAATCACATATACTAACCAAACACAAAGTTGATTCATGCTGTGAAATGCATTCTTGATAAACGTTAAAGCAATTCTTAAATGTACATTTGATAAAAACAATGTGATTCATTTGTATTTAAAACTTTGAATCATTAACCCTTTAAGTTCATAAAACTCATTGCTAAAACTTTTATAAGTAAATCAATAAATAAAGTTCTTTTTACTAATAAAAATCCGATTTGACTGAGATTTGAAAGAAAATTAAGTTTCTATAAGTAGTCCTTCCAATAAATGTAAAAAAAAAACCAAAAATTCAGCCAATCCCAATCCCTTTCCGATCACATCTTCTAATTAACAACACCCCACAATGGCCAAACGCGATATTCTGCCAGTATTTCCTTCTCGGGCAAATTCAGTGATAATGAAGCAGCGGGTTCTTGCAGCCAGGAGGGGCGTCGGTCTTCTAAAACGTAAGCGGGACGCCATTGACATGAAGCTGCGAGAGCTGCGCAAGATGCGATTCGACCAGGATGTTGATGCGGACGAGACAATGCGTCATGCCATTTTCTCAATGGCCAAGGCCAATCTCCTGGGCGCCGATTTCAAGCCACAAATGGTAAGCAACAGCCAAGTGGCATCCGCCTATCTCCGACGAACCGAAATCAAGATTGTGGGCATCAAACTTAATTGCCTGGACCTGGAGACGAGGGGTACGGGTGCCTTTCCATTGGCGGGTCTCAGTTGTGGTGGGATGCAAGTTAATCGGATTAGAGATGCCTATACGAAGGCACTACGGGAACTAGTGGGTTATGCCTCTTTAGAGTATCAGGAGCGGATGCTGCAGGCTGCCTCCCTACAGACCAACATGAGGGTTAATGCCTTGGAGCATGTGGTAAGTGTGGGAATATGTTAACATTTTATACATTCTTTATAAATTCCCTAACTAAATCCAAAGGTCATTCCGATTTTGCAAAATACCTATAACTATATATGCGGCGAGCTGGAGGAGTTCGAGCGCGAGGACTTTTATCGTCTGAAACGCTCCCAGGCCAAGCAGTTGGAGGCGAAAATGGCCTTTAGCGAATTGATCAAGACCAAGAACATGACCGACGAGGAGCTGGAATTATATGTTCGTAAGAACATAACCCAAGCCCGACCAGTGCCCGACACCGCATTCGAGCACGATCAGTTTGATGAGCAGGAGGTCAAGAGACGGGTGAGAGAGGCCCGTGTGTCCTTGAAGCAGCGCCGTGAGCTGGAGAAGAAGGAGGCAGCCGAGCGGAATGAAAAGGCTCCCGTAACTAGCTTTATCACCACCAGGAGTGCCATGAGTATTTCGGGTCGGCAAAGGGATCCGCGTGCCAGCAGCGGTGATCTGTACAGCACCAAGCGACAGATCCACGACAGCGTTTCTGGACCTACTGGGAAGTCCGTGAGGCGTGGTAGCACAGCCAGCCAGGTATCTAGGATTTCCAAAATTTCCAAAGTCAGTGCTAATACTGAGAAACAGTAAGGCGTTCGAGGTTTCGAATGCAGATTTTTCCAATAAATTTCGGTCATTTTTTTATTTTATACAAATTTTTGAGATCAATTTAAACCAACTTTTCCTATAAAAATGGTATTACAGGGTATCACCGTACACCACACCCTTATTTTCACTCACTCCCCACACACTGTTCGCGAAAAAGCGCCGGCGCGACCGTTACAACGGCAAAATCAAATTTATTTACGGTTAACAAAGGTGTGAGGAAAGAGCAACAGCAAAAGCAGCAGCAACCATGCAGACGCTGCAGAATACAGCAACCGCGAGAGAGAGTGGGCGAGATAGAGTAAGAGAGAGCTTAACCGGTTCGTGCTCCCGCGCAGAACAAGAGAGCGCGCACGAGAGAGAGAGAGAGAGAGAGCGCAGCGCTGCTGCTGCTGCCTTTTGATATCGGGGAAAATAAAACCGTATATATGGCGACGCAGCGTTATTTCGAACACAAAGTTTTGAGTCGTCGATCGTTGCGGACGGAAATTCAGATTAGGATCGTGAGTTGACAGAACAGAATAGAAAAACCAGCTATTACCTACATATATAGAGCAGCAGAGTATTTGGACCAACAAAAGCTACTATATAGAAAACCACACACACACAGACATACAACCAAGGATCCCAAAGGAGCTGCGAAAGTTTCGCGGATAAGCCAAAGTTTCTCTACAAAAAAAAATATAGAAACAAAACGAAGAAAACCAACGAGCAAAAAATTCAAAATGAAACAAATATCTTTATAAAAACCAAATCCGAGCAACTCTTATATGTATTAGCTCTTTTCCCCCGCCACATATCTACTATATAAACGAGAATTCTGCCGTGTGCGCGCGTGTGTTTGGCATATTTCGCACAATAGATGAAAAAAAAAAAAAGAAAAAAATGAAATGAGAAAAAAAAACCGAATGAAAGAAGAAACGCAAGGCGAAAATTTGTATTAAATTCGGCTGAAAACAACAATAACAACAACACTACAGAATTTAAGAAACTGCCACGGCGAGAAAAAAAGAAACGTCGGCGGCGTCGCTGCTTTGGACGCTTTTTTTTCTCTCACCAAGCTGGCAGAGTTCGTCTTATTCTTCTTCTTCCAGACCCCAAAAAGTTAATCCCCATCAAATCTCTTCTTGCTTCTTTTCCAGTGTAATAATTAGTTAAAAAACAAAAGCAACCAAAAAAAAAGTTAACCGCGCGTTCCGTAATTCCACTCACACACATACCAACACTCAAGCAGCAGCAGTAGCCGCAGCGGATTAAAACTTCGTCACTTAGTAGCAACAAATAAAAAAAAAACACCTACAAAAATGGTAAGTTTATTGGTTCTGATGGCAAAAACATGTGCACCTTTATTTTCTGTTTACACAACGTGTACGGCAGCGGTGGCGCTGGCAGAGGCGGCCATCATTTTCCATTGAAATTTCCACAGTTTTTGCGAAAAATCAAAGTCAGACAGCGACCCCCAGGGCAATTACCATTAGTGCGAGCAGGATGGGTTTCCAATGGCTTCCAATTAGACGTTGTTTATATGGTTTTAACGGCTTTCCACACATACACTGGCACATACAGGCGTACTTTATACACCCCGTCGAAAAGCAGCTGTCCCCGGGAATTTCGTTTACATTTTCGCACCCCAAAAATATATATATATCAGGCCTCACGGGTAGAAAAAACTGGTTTTTTCTACAACCCAATATCAATGTTTTACAAAAAAAAAGTTGTAGACTCGTAAAATGCATCCCCTAAAAGTTTTTATCTCATCAAAAGTAGGTTAAAACTTTCTGATTGTGGTATATTTTGAGATACAAATTTTAAGGTACATTGGGTTTTCAATATTTTCTTACAAACTAATTAAATTTCCACTTCGAAATCAAAGAATTAAAATTATGATTCTAATCTTAATTTTTCCTAAATTAGTTTCCAGCTAACATACATTTGTAAAAATCTTTTAAAATCGAATTTTATCTTAAAACACGTCAAACACTTCACATTCTGATTAGCAAAGTTTATACCATCTTCTAATCAGAACTTGAACTTTGTCCTCGGGGGGTCGCAAGAAAACAAGGTAGCACAATTACCTGGCAATGTCAATGTAGCAAGAATTTACACACATGTCACGTCATCCGTCAAAATTATTATTTTTTGCAAGGCTGTCGCACACGGAATGTTGACTCTCGATCAGGTTCGCCCTTATAATAATTCCATGACGTTCGAAAAGCGAATAAAAATTCCCCCTGGAAACCCAATCAGGCGTGGAAAAGTGGAAATTCTTATCAGCATCTCGAGCAACACCTCAATTCTCGCTCTCTTCGTATTCATGGATCCATAAATCAAATATGATTTTGGCCAATTTGTTTAGTATTATGCGCACACATCGGCGCTTTTATCAGCAATTTTTCAAAGATCCCCGCAAATTCCATTTTGCTTATCAGTGGAAAATGTGTGAACATCCATAAGCATGTATAGATGTAGACATATACATACATATATACCTATATATGAACTTATATATTGATGAACAACAAAGTCGCCGGGCCCGGCATTATTGGTCTTTTCTCTTTGCCCCGCCATTCGTTGTTCGCTCTGCGCTTTCTGGTTGGATTTTTTGTATTTACCGCACATTTGGCCGCAAAAATTGAGGTTAGAAACGGACCATGGAAATGGTGAAAAAATTCTTATAGGAATTTCGCGCTGCGCTCTTTTTACCTCTCTCTTTTTGACGCTCTCTCAGAAACTTGCGCACTCGACGCTCTATTTAACCGTTTCGACGCTCTCTCACAAAACCGTTTCACACACTTTCGCGTGTCTCTCTGTGTGCAATTATTTCGTTCGTTATCAGTTCCGTTTTGTGCTGCGTCTCTCTCTTTCCGTTTCTTTCGGTATTTCAGCTTTTTTTTTTGCGCCTTGCGCTTGGCACTTTTATCGGCGCCTGCCTTTTGTTGTTTTCTTCCATAACCGTTTCATTTGCCGCATTGCGGTTATTTTGCTGTTTCGCCTTCGTCTTTGTTCGTCTGCTTCGCTCGTTCATTCGTTCGGCTCGCCGTACTCTTATGCGTGTGTGTATATGTATATGAGTATGTGTGTTGGCGGCTGCCTGTTCCACTTTGCCTTTTCGCACAAGAATTTTATTGTAACGGCACAGGCGAATGGGTGGGGGAGGAGGAGCGCTGCAAATGAAGAAAAATTCCTGCTAGACGCCGCTTAACCACATAATCCAATTTTCTTGTCGCCCTCTTTCGTGCACCTTGTTCTTCTTATTTCTGTTTGCTTTTCTCTGCGCCTTTTGATAAGAACGAATGGACGAACCGAGAGCACCCCACGCCCACTTTATCACCCCCGCTGCCGTCTCCTCATCCTCCTTTTCAACCTCATCTGGCGTCGCCTAATTTAATTAGCGATTTTTACAGCTCACGCAGAATGCAAACAGCTTTTAATTAAAATATGTATATCGCATCGTTTTATAAATACGTGCCCAATTTGTTTCTCTGATTCAACCAACTGCTGCTAACTTGGCCCAAAAGCAAATATTTGTTAAGGGTTTTTACTTTACTTTACTTTGACTGATCTTCAAAGTTTGTTGATCTTTTGCTGCTTTTATTAGGAGAAATGTCTAGATTTCCTTTGAAAAACTTAGCCAACATTCATATAAATTTCCATGAGTCACATTTTCTCTTGGGCTGACTTCATCGATCATATGGCCTGGCCTATGATGAATACACCGCGATGATGTGAGTGGCATATTAATAATGGCTAACGACTGGCTTTTGGCTCAGTTAGCACATTTGTTTGGACTGCTTCTCAGTTCGTATGCACTGAAATTGTACCCAAAAACCATATTTAACCGTCATTCATAAAGCCAAACTGAACTCCATGAAACCGGTTGAAACCGGCAAAAAAAAAAAAGAGAAGCCTAGACTAAACAACGGTAAACCGGCAAACTTGGTTTTAACATAAGTTTCCAGTTTGAAGTTGTATTTACAGTCAAACTTCTTGATGATGAATTTGAATATGATTAGCAAATGTGGTTTATGATAACTCTAACTTATAAAACATTTTTCTAACATTTTAAATAAATTTCCCATTTTAACAATGATTCAAGATTTGTTGATGACCCATAATTCTTTTTGGTGGAAGTTTATGAGCAAAGCAAGATAACTTCATAACTTTGATAAATTATGAGTACATAAACAAAAGTTTTTAAATAAAAGTATGCCATCATCGCCAGTGATTATATTCAAGTGGAGAAACGCAAAAGTTCAACTACTTTTGGCGGATCATAAGGTCAAAACTCTAATGTGATAAAACCATGAGTCATTGCCATAGAAAAAAGGCAAAGAAATAAGCCAGATAAATTCGCACAGCTTGAGTCCTGATTTCAGTGGAATAAACTTTCGGAAGGCACTGTGTTTGCCTTGAATATAGAAGCTTCCTCGGGATGCCATCCGACGTGGCCGTGGGCGTCTGATTGTGCATACAAATGGATTACCAATTAGGCATTAACCCAACAAAGCCACCCCCCAACCGCCCCTCGATTAACGACCCCACCCGATTGACTACCATTAATGGATATCGCTGGGTGGGTGGGGTTTTCTGCTGATTTTGTTATTATTATTTGCATTATTTGTCGCCATTTAAAGAGAGAGAGCTTCAATCTGCTTTTTAGCAGCGAATCTGATGGGTGTTTCTGTGTTTCTGGCTTAGTCACGCCTGCCTTGCCAATGACATAACCCAGTTGAAAAGCGTTTTATCTGCTGCGGGCCATGGCGATAAGCTGGGCAAATTCAATTGAACGCCAACGCGACAAAAAAAAAGAGAAATACAAAAATAATAACAGGTGGCAGCAGACCAAATGTACTCGTATTTGCTGTTTAAATTTACCGAAATTCCCCGATTAGATAAGGTCAAGCACGCAGGGCGCTATAATTCCAATGCCAATTGCTGATTTTGGCTTTAACTAAGTTGGTTTACTGGCTGGCCTAGCCAACGGAAGTTGTCCATAAATGGTTAGCTGGTTGGCCAACATGTCTGAGATCATGTTTAAGGAACATATTGATTTGGCCTTCAACTTAAACTGATTAGATAGAGGCAATCTAAGCTCTGATCCCTGAGACTATTAGCTAATTATATAAATTATAGATTGAATTGATAGTTGCCCTTAGGCAATTAAAGTTGTAATTCTACATCTGGGAACGGTAAACAAACATATAGCCAAGCTTTTCACTTATCAGCTTGAACAAATATATAGTATAAGTCATCCTCTGACGCAGGCAAAGTTTGCTTTTGCATTTTTGCTTCATGATTAATAATAATTATCGCAAGTCAAACCAGGCCTTATAATATAGTCGTTAAATTCTTTAGCTTATCGGTTTGAGAGAGAGAGAATTGCTCAAATAAACATTAATTTTGCCATTAAACAATAACACTCAGGCAAACTGAGAATGAGGCTTGGAAATTTGTTGACCCTGAAGATCGTTTTTGGGTCTAGAATTACCTGGCTGGCTCCTGACAACTCGCATGCCTCATGTCGCAGATACATCATTCGCATGGCAATAATAAATTTTGGTTTTGAGTGTCGTCGTCTTTGTTTTTCCACTCCTCTTCCCTTTTTTTTTCTCCTCCAAGCTTCTTGCTGTTTATTAAACATTCGCTGACGTCAGGTTTTTGTTGATTCAGCGGAAACTTAACACCTTTTTTTTCCAAGATACCACTGCATAGAGATACCATATACCAGATACAAAGATACAATTGTATCTGGTCTTGGCCCGGCGGCCAGACAAACAACAATATGCAAAATTATTCAAATTAAACACAATTGTTCTCCTTTTTTTTTCGGTTTCGGTCCCTTGTTTATTTCTAATTGTATTCCTTGGGGGGTTGATAGTTTTCCATTTTTTGACATTGAAATGCCATCCGAGATGTCGTTGAAAAGTTTTTCACAAGCCAACCCAAAAGCAACCTGGTCGAGTTGTCAATATCATAGTTGTAGTATTTATTTTGTTAACGATTGTTGTTTGATGCCAATTCAAAATGGTTTGTGTTTTTAGTTAGTTAGTGCATCTAATTAATGGTCTTATTATGTGTTTTTTTCTGTTTTTGCAGGCCGATCAGCTGACAGAGGAACAGATCGCTGAGTTCAAAGAGGCATTCTCGCTATTCGACAAGGACGGCGATGGCACCATCACAACAAAGGAGTTGGGCACAGTCATGCGCTCCCTGGGCCAGAACCCCACAGAGGCCGAGCTGCAGGACATGATCAACGAGGTTGATGCCGACGGTAAGTTGGGTTTTTGGGAAGGAAAATCATTGTCATTCGGGGGGGTGTTATAATAAGATATCAAGTCAGTATTGGCTAACTACACAGACTAGCATGTGTTTAGGCCGCTAGCTTTAAAATTAGTTCCAGTCACAATCGTATCTTGTGACTTGATGATGAAGTCAGACTTTTGACTATATATGCAAATGATCTGATTAGCCATGGTTTTTGCCACAACCATGCTTAGTGATAAACAAACTGGCCAGAACCCCTTTTAACCCGATCCCCAAGGTGTCTAATTTTGTTTACCCAAATCTATGGCTATTCTGGGCCTAATCCCTCTCACTCATTCCTTTTCGTTTCGCTTCTCCTTTTGCAGACAGACATAGATCAGACCAATATTTGTACGACAAACAATGGGTGAAAAATACAAAAATACAAAAAACAAAATGAAGAAAAAAAAAATGGAAAATCATTTCTTGGCTAAAAATATGCAACAAAAACACGTCATAGGGAGTAAAAATAGATGACTAAAATATTTTGGCTCTTTCCCGTGTCTTGTCTTTGGCAGCCGCTGCTGTCAGATTTTTTTTGATTTTTCATTTTTGAGTAAAGGTGGTTGTTTGCTTAGCTCAAGAATCTCCGACAAGTTTTAGTGTAACAAACTTTTTTTTCGGGGGAGGAAAACAAGAAAATTGAGGAAGATCCATTTTTATTTCTGATGCTGGGGGAAATCGAGCGACAGGCGCCTCGCGCCAAAAATGTGGCAAAATTGAAAATGTGTCGCCCATTTTTATAGCATGAGGTTTTTCACCTTTTGGCGGTAAACCAGATTTGCCATGAATGTGGAAGAGAAAGAAAATAAATAGATTAGCTTGTCTATAGTTTTTGTTAGTTTTTAGTTTTTGAGGTAAAATGGGAAAATTATATTTATTTTTAGGATTTTCTACTACTAACGGTATAGTAGAACACGTCTTTTTATACCTTTTTCTTACCTATTTTTCTAACAATTTTCCCCAGAGACTGCGTAACAAGTAGATCCCAAGAAAGTAGCTGCCGAAACTACTTTTTCCCCTTACTTGTTCTTTCATAACTTTTGTAACTGTCCCCGCCCAATTTGTATTTGTATTTGTTTTTTTTTTTTTTTTGCTCCATTTTCTTTGTCAGTTTTCCCTTGGTTTGGTTGTTGTTGTTGCTGCTGCTGCTGCTGCTGTTGCTCTTGCACGTGGAAATTCTGTGCGCATGTTGTCGAAAATATCCAGGACAAAATCTGCAAAGTCCTGCACAGAATTTGCAGCGCAGGCGCTCTCTCGCACAATTTCCATTTTTTTTTGTTTCTACAAGTTAAAGTGTTGCAATCCAGGGGGGGTGGTAAAGGGGTAGATGCGCATACTAACTGTTTATCAGAGCTAAAAATAGTAGTTGGTATATGGCATGGCATGGCATGGCGGGGTCGCCACTTGGGAGTCCGAACATTTTTCCATCCAAAACTTTATTTGACTGGAATTTGCATATGTGAAAAAGTTTTTCATTGAGTGGAAAGGAAAATGTTTTGTTGGCCAACTTTATTTGCCAACGTTTTAGTTGTTTCTCGTCGCTAAACGAACTCCTCTAATTTACGATTCCACAAAGGAATGCATTTTCTGGCCCGAAAAACTAACTTGGCAACACCAGAATCACCCACTCACATGGCTTGGTGGCGGTGGCCAATGTGAGTGGGCCAGGCAGTCGTCAGGAATCTGACGGAAACATTAAACATTCATTACTTAAAATTTTGTTGGCGTCTCGTCGCAGGCAGTTGACGATGGCCAAACTGCCTGATTTTCAGAGTCTCTCAGCTGAATGCAAACGACCGCATTAGTTTTTGGTCAAGAGGAGAGATGTGAGGAGGTGAAGGAGAGGGGTGGGTCAGTGGGATTGTCCAGCGGTATAAATACAATTTTAGCAAAAGGAAAAGGAAAGGAGTGAAAAGTGGCTATAAATTAGTATACAACGGGGTATACCCGTTGTAGTGGATATTTTGTAAGTTAGGAATTAGGAAAATTCCGACTGTCATTGAGTTTTCTTTAGTACTAAATGGAAATTAAATCTGAGGATATTTCTATAAAGGTAATTAGATATTTAGAGACGGTTTTGAGAGTTTTTCTATGTTCTGTTAATCTGCTGTTTCAGTTTCAGTTTTAACTTAAAAAGAAAGTTTTTAACAAGATTGATTTTATACAGGAACTTCTACAAAATCAAATTTTGCGATATAATACAGTAAAGCTTAGATAAATTCAAATACATTCTTAAACCTTAAGGTAACTTTCATTTCAGAAAGAACTTAATACAATCCTAGCACTATTTTCCATCTTTTCCAAAGTCAACTGTATTTTGTAAAGCGCAATGGAAAATGCCCCCAAACTAAATTTAGCGATGCCACTGCGAGCGGCACAAGAAATAATAATAATAAAAAAAAAAAAAAAACTTATTAAAATTTTAAATTGTCTGCAAAATTTTGCGAGCAACGTTGCGAAACGGAAAAGCAGAGAAAAAGGGGTTGTGTGAGGAGGAGAGGAGGAGGAGGTGGGTGCTAGAAGGCAAACGTAATGGAAACCGAAAGCCCCGCCAGACGCTGGCCAACATCATTATGGCCAATAGAAGAGGCGATGTGAACATCATAATTATCATAATTGGGCTGAGTGAGAGGAAGGAGAAAAGTGGGGTTCGTCAAAGTCGTACGTTCGGGCCAGTCTAAGAAGCGTCTAACAAAAATGGCAACAAATTTCTCAATGCCTTTGTCTGTCTGTTGTCCCCCCAATACAACCAATATTCTATGAGTGTGTGTGTGTGTGAGGAGGAGGCTTTCCTTGGTATTTGTATTATATGTTTTTTTTTATTTTTTTTCATTTTTGGTTTTTGGGGAAATCCTATCGACAAAGCCAAAAGCAACAGAAAATCGCGTCAAATGTTTTAAATAGAATCATAAACAGAAACCGAAACAGAAACGGGAGGCAAAGACAACAAGCAACCAAACACAACAGATATCGGCCGAATGAACTATATAGCCACCCGTCGATATTTTATTTGATGTTCTTTTGGCTATTTTCGAAATATATATATTTTTGGCTCTCTCAATATGGCAAAAATATTGAATAATAATAAGACTTAAATTAGCCGAAAGTGTGGTGAAAAATTTATGATTATGAAATTGGAAATTGCTTTCAGATTTTTGTATTTATTTGTTTTAGAAAAATGTTTGTTTATTTTAAAACAAATATTTAAGAGTGTTAAATAGTTATTTAGTTTCTTTTTTTTTAGGGGTCATGAGTGCAGAGTTCATTCGTTTTTATTTTGTTACTTGCGAGTTTTCCTTATCCCATCTTCAACAAATCTAAATTGCCCTAAAGGAAAGTAGTTTTTTGTGCTTCCAAAGTTGAAAAGAACTTGAACCTATGAGGCATGAGGCATCATATATACAGAAAGTTCTCTCCCTCTCTCTCTCTGGAGAAAACCCATTTTCCCACAAAGTAATAAAAAACACATTCAATTCACAAGAAACAAAATGATAGCCACAATGAAACACGCTCCATTTGGTTTTGAGGGTAGCAAACACAGAGGAAAAACTGAAAACTGAAAAACATTTTATACTGTTGTTCCATTTTATGGACAAAAGGGGCTCTTCTCTTGACTAGGGAACGATGATGTTGATGATGATGATGGCTTGCAAAAAGTCAGTCAATAACAATTAAGGCCAAAAGTTGTCTTAAAAAAAAAAATAAAGAAAATGTATAAGAACTATTTTCAAGTTAAGACCAAGTCAAGCCGAAAGCCGAAAGGAAACTTTTTCAATTAGTATAACAAGAATTTCGGTTTGGGCCACTTCATTTGCGTTTCACTTATGTAGGATAACCTCAGGAAAATGTTTGGCTAAATTCTTTAACAAATTTTCATTCCACTTGGCTGAACCGAAGGAGGGGGGAAGGCGATAAAGAAGCTAGATAAGAAAAGAGCACAAAAAAGAAGAGAGAAAGTGAGGAGGAAGAGAGTGATTCAACAGAAATGGGATTAGGCGGACTTATCTTTGTAGCACTCCACAAAGGTGGGTGGCCTACCCGCCTACACGTGTGTTGGTTTTCACCCCAACCGCCGCTGCTCCCCCCCTTTAAGGAAAGTTTGTTTGGGGCTTAGGCAAATATGAAAATATGCTCGATTATATATACCACCTCCCAGGGATTTAACGTCGAAAAGGCAACACGATGGAAAAGCTTTAAGTAGTGTACACACAGCCCCAGGGTATTCGGCGGCAGAGCAAACTTGGCCATAATGAAGAGAAATGTTGGGTGCCTTTATCCCCTGACTTGAATTTATTATAACGCCTCCATCGCCTCTCCAACCCCTGGGGGTTAAGAATTTAAATTGATGATGGGGGGAAATCCCTGAAATCCCATCCGTAAAGTATGCAACGAAATTAATTGTTATTCTTTATGCTTTCCGCACAGGCAACGGCACAATTGACTTCCCAGAATTCCTTACAATGATGGCACGCAAAATGAAGGACACCGATAGCGAAGAGGAGATCCGGGAAGCCTTCAGAGTGTTCGACAAGGACGGCAACGGCTTCATCTCGGCGGCTGAGTTGCGTCACGTGATGACAAATCTCGGCGAGAAACTCACAGACGAGGAGGTCGATGAGATGATCCGTGAGGCTGATATCGATGGTGACGGTCAGGTCAATTACGAAGGTGAGTTAAGCTTAGGTCATGTTAGAGATAGAGTAATGAAATATCAGTGGATATCCATGGATTAGTCTTAATATTCTTAATTAAAGTTAAGAAAACAGCTTAGTTCTGTAAAAAGGGTTTGCTAAGGTTTGAAATCAGAGATATTTTTAACTTTTTATAGGATATACCTCATGTCTATTCCAATTCCGATAATGTAATAGAAACTAATGACAGTAAACTTGTCGAATCTCATGATGAAATATGAGAACTTCCCAATAATCCGCGTTGTCAAAGCTTTTCCAACGCTATTTTCACGGTAATAGCTCTAAATGTTATTGTTTTTTGTGGTTCGCGTGCTTTGGGCTCTAATTGGATCTGTCTGTTGCACCTGCCACGAAACAGAGACAGCAAAAGCAAATAAAATGATTGAATCACTGGCATCGCATTTGAGTCACTATTGGCACTTGGCTGTGTCATATGGCTTGGCTAATTAACCAAAACCCTGACTCATTATAGTAATACTTAAATGTGTGCTAAATCTATATAAATATATAAATAAATAAATATATAGACAGAGATATATAAAACAAATATCTCTACCCATTAGCAGTGCATTTTTATACGAAATCTTTCTTGGTAATTTTTTAATTGCTTGAAAATTGATTTTTCAATTGGGCAAACAGCGTGTCCCAGTGGGTGAAAATGAATATAGAGAAAAGCAATCACCATCAAATGGGAAAAGCTAAAACAATAAAATAGAAAATGGAACAAATTTGAAATCGCAAAAAAAAGAAGGAAAATCCTCCTATATTATGGCACATCCTCCCACTACTGCCTCGATTTTTCCCCAAAATTTCCTTTTGTTGTGCACACACACATAGAGACCGGGAAAAGTAGCAATTAAAATCGGACAGTATTTCCCCCTCATATATATGTACTACCTACCTATCTATATCTATCTATCTATATATATATATGTTGATCTTCAAGTTCAAATAGAAATCGTTTTTGGCTGCCGCCAAAGCATTTCGCGGATCAAATAGATTAATCACAAGTAATTTATGAACAAAATACATAAAAATAGCAAAAAGTTTAAACAAAACAAAAGCAAAACGAAGACTGATGATCTACATTTATAATCATTAACTACATTGTGTTTTTTTTTTAGTGGAATTTGTTAATAGATTTGTATTTCTTTAAAGTAAAATGAAGTGTCTAGGTTTAGTTAGTAATGAGGAAGTGTTGGGTATAAAATTGTACTTGATACTGTCAGATAGTAGAATCTAAATGTTAAGTGGAAGGTGGATTTGCCAGAAAACTCAAGAAGTTAGAAAATCAGGTGATCAGGTGATAGTTGGCTAACGAATTTGTACTACAAACCACATGTTGTTGCTAGAAAAAAGTATCTATAACTTTTGCAGTTATTAACATTAAAAAATAACCCTTTTAATTACTTAAAAAACAACTTTTTCTGTATCATCATTCCTCTGCCATATATCACTGGCCATTTAAACTTTTCCTACTTTTCCTACTTTGCCTGCTCCCAATCAGTATTTTTTATGCCTTTCGCCACTTTCCTGCTGCCGCAAATTGAAATGTTTTTAAAAGCCAAAATAAATGTCGCGCGTAAATTCCACACTTAAATGATTAACCTGTCGCGGGCCAAGCAGCCGTCGTAGTCCGCTGCTCGGCAACAGTGCGAATGGGTAACAACAATTAAAATAAAATATATAAATATTGTGCAATATTCATCAAGGGGGCTCGGGGGTTGGGTTGGTAATCGGGGAAAGGCGATGGCATGAACATTGACCGAGCAAATGTATCTCACTCCTCTTGGCCGTGTTTTTTGGTTCAGTCAGCGGAATCAGCATAACGTAAATATAAAATGCGCATTGTTGCCATTTTGCTTATTGCCAATTAACCAAAGTCTTTATTGTTGTGTCTTGCCGGCTTTGGCTATAGCCATACGACGACCCCTTCTCTCCCTCTCCCCCCGCACATACTTCTTGGTAATTTTGCAAGTGAAAATTATATGGCGCACACAATGAATATGCAGAGGGAAAGATAGATATTGGCGAATGGGAATGAGATGAGACTTACTTTGGCCCAATGCCAGCAGATAGAAAAATGCTGTGCAAAGGGAAAGAAGAACAAGAGCCAGTCGAAAATCAAATAAAATGTTAAACAAAATACAAAGAACAACAAATTAAAAATTAACACAGAGGCGAGGAAAATTAAATGAACACACACACACACCTACACACATCTCTACAATAGGTGTGTGGGTAAGAAAAAAAAAAAAGAAAAATAAATTCCAAAATTAGCAAAAAGGAAAAAAAGATGGAAAAAATCTAGACCTTAGCAGAGATAGACCAAGTAAGTTTGGCGAATGTAAACAAAGCGACGAAAGATAAACAGCAGAACCACAAAAACGCAAAACGACGTAATGAGTGGGCGGGGGGAAGGTGTTTTGGTTGGGGACGGGGGCATTGCGGTTAATTCAGGGGCTCGTGGTGGGTCTATAAAATGAATAGCTAAGAATATTTGCCCAAAAACATTTTGTTGACCGAAGAAGACAGCCGAAAAAGTTGCAATGCGACCTGGCTTGATTTCGTTTTAATTGTCTTGGGAAAACTTTCTTTTATATTTCTCTCAGTGCATCGAACTGGATAGCTAAAATAGGCGTGGCCCAAATAGTGGGCCATGATGTTTTCCGACGAAGATTTAATCAAAAGAGTGAACGACGAGCACATTTGCATTTGGGCAAATGTCAAGGACGGCCCCATGGGGTTTCGCCACTCTTGGGAGTTTTCCCATATAGGCTAAGCCGGGCGTCACCACCTGAACTTTGGCCAATAACATTTCAGTTTTAAGCCTCTTACGACCTCCAAAAGGGTTTAGTTTGATTATCAGAAAGGTGTGTTTTGGCACTTAAACGGAATGGAAGGTTAAATTTACCAAAAAGCTTGATAGCCATCGATTGTTTGCGGGTTTTTTGATAAGCTTTTTTTTCTAGGGCAAGTCATTTTAGTTTGAAGATTATAGGCCAGGCTAGAAAGGCGATAAGATTTGAAGTATGGAAGTTGAAGATGGTATTAAACTATATGATTTTTTATTGACTTTTCCACATATGTTCCTAATAAACTTTTTGCCTTGGAAATTCTAGTTAATTTAGGTTTTGCCATCCCCAATAAATGTTGTTATTTTGTTGATTTTTGGCAAAACCCATTTACACCCTATAAATTCTTGACCATTGGTCCCGAGGAAATCCACCCAATTACACGCCCACTCAATTTGCACAGACCTCTATTCTGTGTCTCTTTTCTTGCCCTCTCCCTCACTCTCTATCTCTTTCTTGTTGTTTAAATATTTCAAAAATGCAATCACCCTAGGAAACAGCAAAACAAAAACAGCAAAAAGACAACGAAGAAGAAGAAGAAGAAGTGCAATCAAGAAGAACAGATGCACCAGCAGCGCGTCCGAGAATTCTTTTCTTTTCTCCTTTTCTCTTAAAAATAGAAATAGGCAAACACCTGATAAATTGGGGACACCAATACAGGCAAAAGGGAAGAAGTCGACTGGTGGATGGTGATATTGCTCCTCCTTTTCTCTCCTTTTCTTCCTTCCATATTGATTGAGTCGATGATGTGGAAGTTCTTCTCTTCTTTTTTGTAATGGGTATTGGTACAGTGAACTAGGGTATATTGGTTTTGAGTAAGTTTTAAAGAGATCTTAGAAAGGTACTTAAAATACTTTTGAACTAAGCGCCTTTTAGGTATGCAATACTTTTTATCATTAGTTAAAGGGTTCTAATCTTTCAAGCACAGCTTATACCCAGTTTATACCCATCAATTCGCGAACAATGCGGCAAGAGGCAACGTCTTTATATTGCACTCTGCCACCGTTGCTGCCAAGCAGCCACCGTCTTCTATTTTCGGACGAGGAACAGAAGAGAGTACATAATCTCTGGCGATTGACTGTCTGAGTCTTTGCACTCAATAAATTTTCCCTGCCTTTGCCTTGGCTGTGTGTGTCTTGATTTTCTTTTTTCTCGTTGTTGTTGATGTTGTTGTGTTGTGTGCGGCAAAAGTGTTTTCATCAGACATCTCGTGACTTGCTCGTTTGTCTTATTGATTAGCTGGTCGTTGCTGTTCGTGTTGTTGTTGTAGTGTAATGCTCGTTTGCTATTGATTAATTGCCATCTTAATTTAGTAGAAGGTTAATGACAGCGCTCAGCTATTTTCGATACTTGATTTGTTGTGTGAATCTTTTTTGTTCTATTTGATTTTTTTTGGTGTCAACTCAAGTGGTTGAGAGGGTATTTTAAACTGGGGATATATCATTTCGAGAGTTCTTAATTGGGTAATCAGTTTATAGTTTATGGATTTTTTGTATAGGTGTTTGTTAGGTTAAGAAATAGTTAGAAAAGGTCTTACTTAGAGATGTGTTTTACTATTAGAGAGTATTAAGATAGATATTTATCTAAAGACAGACTTCCCTTTTCAGTTTTAAGATCATATTTGAGACTTTGTTATAGATAGTTTAGTTAGAAGTTTTATTCTTTAATCAATCATTTGCAACTTTTTAACTAATTCCAATCTGTTCTCTTTCTTTTCCTTACAGAATTCGTGACTATGATGACATCGAAGTGAAGCGTTAAATTATTTCTTTTTAAGCCTTTCTATTTTTTTAAGATGTTGACGAAGACTGTAGCTGTGCGCAATAACATCGCGCCACGCTGTTGCTATGGACCCCAGTAAAAGATCTTAAAAAAAGCAAACAACAACAACAACAAACAACAAAGAGTTAAGCAAAAAACAAAAACAACATAAAGAGAAGAATAAGAAGCAAAAAAACATTTAAGAAACTTTAAAAACAAATGAAACTTACACTTAAAAAAATGCAAAAGCAAAAGAAAATTTAAACAAGCAAAAAACTGAAACAACCGAATTCAGAAAGAGAAGAAGAAAAAGAGGTTAAACGAAAAAAAAACAACAACAACAACATAATTTTAATGCAACAAAAAACAACAACAACCAAAACAGCATACTTAATGAAGTCACCGTTTAAAACCACAAACAACAACTACAACTACAACAACAACCAGCAGCAACAAACAACAACAACAACAAATCGTTTCGATTAACAAGAACAACAAGTCTATCACTACACTTAAACAAAATGAGAAGCGAGAAGAAGAGCAAGCAGAGGGAGAAGCAAGAAGCAGCAGCAACCACCAGTATTGCCGATAGATGGCGCACCAAACAATGGTCAGCGCGCCACCTGGCGACGGAGGCGCGCATCGGCTGCATTTTGTTTTGAAAGTTTTCCACTGAAAAAAATAAAAGAGAAATGAAGAAATAAATTGAAAACCCGAATCTGTAAGCTAGCAAATTGTGTTTAAAGTATAAAGTAAAAAAATTGTCGATTTCGTTGCGAAAGAAAGAATAAAAATAAAAGCTAAACAAACAACAAATAAAAATACAAAATAAAACAAAAACTGTTAAAGAAAAATATTTGAAATTTTTGCAAACTGGCAAAGTTTATATAGACACTCTACCACACATACACTCTCATACACACACACACACACTCTACACCCCTTCACACGCCCACACACACCCACACACAGACATGTCAGAAAAACAAGAAGTAAAATATATTATAAATACAACATATATATATTATAAATAATGTAAAATCAAACAACAACAAATTCTTCTTATTAAATTATATTTAAATTTAAAATTAATAAATATAAAGAAAAAAAAATAAAACAAATAAAAATTACAAAAAAAAAAACAAAAAGAAACCAACTACAAAATACATTTTCGATATAAAATTAAATTAAAAACCAAAAATGTGGCGCGCAGCAGAGAAGATGAGGCATATTTTTGGGGGCTGTACGAGGACCAGCAGGACCGCAGTCCACAAGGTCCTTGATAGGCAGCTTTTTTGTCGGCACTATTTGTAGCAAACTTAAGCGACACACCAACAACACGGCGATCTGATAACATATATATTATATATATGGGCAGATTTAACATTTAACAATGCAAAAGAAAAACGCCACAAAAAAAAAACACAACAACAGCAACACATTTCTCTAGTACTTAAGCGGCAGCAAAACCAGTAAACCGAATATTACTATTACAAATATAAATATGAAGGAACTCTATATATATATATATATATAAATACATATAAATATAAATACCTAATGTACTTAATGCAAAAGGAAAACCAAATCTAAAGTAATATAATTTTATTATAAAGAAATATAAAATTAAATATTTATATGCGAGAGAGACGAAGCGGAGGAAGAGCTGGACGAAGTAGAAGAAGAAGCAAGGAGAAGATTTCATCAAACACACACATATATAAGGACGAAAGGACGAAGTATGGAGGAGAAAAGGAAGAGGAGCAGCAGCAACATCGCACGAGGCTCCCTTGAAAGAAGACAACTCTTAACAACAGGAGACACGATGTTGAAGTATCAGCAGAGAGTTCGGCATCGGAGCAGTTATATATATTAAACAAAAAATATATATATATATATTTATAAATAAATTATACATATGAATTAAACTAGCTAAATGCAAAGACAATTGTCTGTAAAATGTAAGCAACAAATCAAGCGTGGATTCAAGACGTAAACCAAACAAAGCAACCAAAAAGTTTAGGCAAATGCAAGAGAGCTAGCTAAGCGTAACATTAAAAATTAATATATATACGAACATAATGGTTTAAGTTGAAGTTAGAGCAACAACAGCAACTGCTAAATCCTGGCACCACAGCAACCGCAAAGCTTTAACCCATCCGCTCTGTCTCCACCACCCAACAATAACTACTTACTACTATCTCTCTCTCTGTCTTAACTATCTTTTCCTCTATCTTGTCCACTGCTGCCTAGTTAACGAACACTCTCGTAAAACAGAAAGTAAAAGTCTGCGCGACCAATTGCTAAAACTAAACCGTAACTTTGGTTTTAATTTAATTTCATATCGAAAATCCTGTTTTTTTTTCCTCTTTTTCTCTCAACTGTAACGAACTCGTCGAACGATGTCTTCTAACCAATCAAGATCTATCCATACACCCATATCCCATCCCACACCTCTCTCACGACACATCTCTAATCTAATTCCCATGCTAACTCTAACTCTTCTCCACTGCAAAAAATCAACTGTGAGTATAACTTAGCGAAGGCAGGAACACACAATGGCTAACAACTCTGCGTGTTTTCTACGTTCTAATATTTAAGTCGAGTTTTATAATTCCTTTTTGTGTTTGCTTGACTTTGGAACATAACGCTCTGAAGGGCAAAAACGACAAGATTTGAACAAAACAAAAAAGATACAAAACACCATTTGCGCTAATGATAAAAAATTGAAAAATCAAACAAAAAAAAAAAAAAAACACTTTTCTATAACTTTTTTTAACAAACAAAATAAAAAGAAGAAAACATTTTGTAGCGAAATTTGTGCAATGTTTTAAAGAAAGAAATGAACCTATATCGAGACCTATGAATAAATTGCAGGCAAAATTTAACTCTAATCAAATGACACAGACGAATTTTTCTAAAATCTAAATCTTAAAGGAAACATAGTCAAATCTAAATGAAAATGTAAACTTTTTGATCGGCCGCTTTTTCTCAAAAGTAGGCACTCGAAAATTTTTCCATTTCTCGAATGTCAAATGATAAACACAGAAAGAGAGAGCATTTCCAATTCAAATTGGTTGCTGGTGAAGTGCGTCAGTTGTGGCATTGGAGGCTGGATTCACAGAGAGTTTCTCGATTTTCAAATCAAAACTTGCATAAATATTTATCTTCGTTTGCATAGCAGAAGGCAGTCAAAGAAATGGAAAGCGAAAAACCAAAAACAAACTTGTTAAAATATGCTAAAAGTGTTTGGCAAATTACAATATTTCGACAGGCAAAGAAACCAAACAAAACAAAACTCGCGCCTCTATCTATATATGCAAATATATATATAAATATATATATATATATATATATATATATATAAATAAAGCTATATACAAGTTATATTTACGAATATTGTAAAAATTGCAAACAACCGATGAAGAAAAACTATGAGCATCAAACAAGCGAAACAAACAAGAACTTACAGAAATTTCTTTGAAAAAAATACACAAACATTTTAAAAACCTCGAAACAAAAACCAAAATTGTCGTTTTCTTTTTTAAACCTTGAAAATTTTCTGGATTGGCTAACATATTCTCACAGACACCACAACAGCTCAGTCATCTTCAGATCTTAGATTTTGATTCGGCCCCCAAGGATATGCTACCATCTTGGATCTAACCTGCCTTTGCGGTTGTAAAGATCCATGAGCTCCACGAGTCAAGTTGATTTATAGATTAAGAACAGCCAGCGGATTGAGAAGGCGATCCATTAGGTTGGACTGCGGCCAGCCAATAAGACAACAGGATATGGAACCTAAACCGGATACGGAATCTCCGCTAGCCCAAAGAGTTATGACCCACTTAAAGCCGATAAGAATTTAACAAGTTATACATTGAATGTATGCACTTAAAACCACCTATTAAGAGATTTCATCGTAAAAAGAAGAAAGCCCAAATATATGTATAGCGAATATGCAAGTTATTCTTGATGTCCAATATACCGATAACCATGTGTACCTATAAGCCAGGCAAGTAGAAGTCCCGTTCCTGCACTCACACTCCTCGATTTGATTCGATTCGGAAATGCACTGAATGTCTACAAGAATAACCGATTTTCCAAAAGAGAAATTAATGAAATTAAACGAATAACCTATACATGAATATTTTCTTCGATTCGAATGAATATTTCGGTACTTTAAAATATGGATGTTAGTCTTGTCATAGATTAAAAACGTAAAATGCAAACGTAGGCCTTGAATGAACTCAAAAATATAAATGGTATATACGGATATTAGAGGCTAAACACATATTAATTAGATATTATTGCGCCTAGAAACTAGATAAATGTATAAAGTTAAGTGATAGTTAAAGCTGGCAATATTTTCATTTCAAAACTAATTTATATTGAATTTGTATCTATGAGGAAATAAGTTGTATATATTTTAGATTTTTATTTTTCTCTTTCATAAAAGCCACACATTCTTTGCCAGCCGAAAAGTATGCAACTAATAATTTGATTTATCAGTACACCAATACTCCCACTCCACACACACACACACACATACATTGAACACAATTTCCAGGTTTTTTGCAAAACAAAATTTGTTGTGGACTGCGAATAATAATTCGAAAAAGAAGAAGAAAACATACACATACACAACAGCTACAGCGTTCTGATACATCGATTTCAGATTTAAAGAATCAACAAAAATATTCTAATTTTAAGCAAGCAAAATGTTAAACATTATATATATGTATCGAAATACGAGAATATCCAAAGCTTTACCTAACAGAATGAGAGTGCAACTGAGTGCGACAGCAGGCATAACTATATAGCAATGCAAGATCACCTAATCAAAAAAAAAAACCAAAACCAGTAACAAAATTTCATCCATAGGACAAACAACTGACTCTATATATTGAACTGTAATTTCTAAGCTCTAAATTGTAATTAAACTAATCGAATATGAATTTCCAAGAGGCAAACTATATATGAAAACTGTTTATACCAAGCAAACCAACCTTGAGACATGATTAAATAGAACAATCCGGTGGGCAAGGTGACAAGTATTAGGGTATCGCCACATACCCAAACGAAAACCAATCTGCATAGCAATTAAAAAATCAAATGCAAACAAGAAATAATTCCATTAACTAACACGCGAATCTGTGTAATCGGAAGAGTAAAACCAGACGAAAACGAAACGAATATAAAACAATTTTAATAATTCTATTCTACTTAACAGGCAAAACAAAACAAGAAAAACCAAAAATAAAGACAAAAAACAGAATATACAATTTAAATGGTGTGTGTTTTTTATTTTTTCATATGGCAGAAGCATTTAAAAATATTAGAAAGAGGTAAGTTATTTATATGAATATTAGGTTTATTTAAATTTGCAGAAATATAGGACAATATAGAGCTTAAAGGTGGTTAAAAGCTAATTTAGGTTTTCTAAAAAAGCTTGGCGTTTTAGAGCAGCGAATCCTTTTCTGTAGTAGCCTAAGTTTACTGTGCTTTAAGGTTTTTTATTACAATACACATTTACTGAAGTAAACTTACATATAAACATTCTACGTTCACACGTGTAGATCAAAGAGGAAGGTTTGTTAACCTTTAACACTAGAAAAGAAATCAAAATAAAATATAACTCATACGCCCCATTATCCTGGCCTGCAATATTTTTATAGGAGATCTCCGAGAGAAAGCTTTAATGAAAATAAAATAACATATCTTGGAATATTTATCGTAAGCAATGAAGGCATATAACTTTACCTCTAAAAAAATCACGTATACGCCTTGTAAGTCCTGTAAGCCTCAAGAAATCACTCCTTAGCCCTGGTATTGCCTTCTTCCGATCTGGCAACCCTTCCTATACATTTTTGTGAATGAAAAAAGCTCAAGCTAGCTAGCTTTACGCCAGCAGGAAGTTGAAAGCTCTCTCAATGCAACCAGCAGTGCCATGAAGACAATAAAAGATGCTCCCGCCGAGAGAAAGTACAAATCTGCGGTGGGAGTTGGGAGGTGCTTGGGCTGCTTGTTTTTTCCGAAAGGGGTTCTTCGTGGGCTGAGCAGCACGAGGTCTTCTGGCATATGCCGCGTTGTATTTTGTTTGTTTTGATTTCACTGCGCTTCGGCCTTTCGTCGTTGTCGTTGTAGTTGTAGTTGTAAATGGTGCTATTGCGACTGCTACTGCTGCCGCCGCTGCTGCTGCTGCTGCTGTTTGTCGTCGGCATTTTGGCATCGTGTTATTTTTATGCTTGCCCGCACGAGAAGCTGTCGCTTTCCTCCTGCCACTTGCCACTTGCCACTTTTTCGCTCAGTCGACAGCAGGACATCGAGCAGTGCAAGTCGCGCGGTCGCACTTTTTCGATTCCAATTCCGAATTCCAAAATCTCCGATATCGTTGATGTGGTGGATGTGGCTCGTGTGTGCCTCTGCTTCTGCTGCTGCAGTGGCAGCTTGTGAAGTTTTGTGCGACTCTTGCTAAAGTTTCGATTCGTCGCCAGTTCGTCCTTGCCGCATCCTTAGCCTTGCTCACGGTCATCACGGCATGAAAGCCAATTGAGAATGCACAGGTGCGAAGGTTGGGTGGGAAAATAGAAAACAATAAAAGCCATCATACCCGTATATAACCCTCGAGACATTCGCAATCCGTGCATTAGCATTAGTGCATAAAGTGCCTGGATATTGACGCACAATAGCCGGAAGACGAAACCAAGAGATGCCATAAGCCCGGAAGACAACGTAACCAAGGCTGCAGGTGCCACAAACAAGCGGAAGTAACTGCAAGGAGAAAAACGAGCAAAGCAACAAAAAAATGCATTTAATTTGCCAGTAAAGTAAAGTAAAAAAAAAGAGACCAACAGAGAGATGAGCGATCGGGGCAGCGGTGGTGCAATGACTGGGGGGCGTTATGCGCGGGTTAGCCCAACGCCAGGACGTGGCAGCAAGATTGCGTATACGCCATGTCCGCGCTCTGAACCGCCGCAGGATTTGGCCTTAGCCATTCCGCCGCGCAACTGCCTGGCCATCCCGATGTCCTCGCTGCAGACGGCCAATGGACCCGGCAATAAAGGTGAGTCCCGCGGTCATTCGATTGTTTCAATTTAGCTTAACCCTCTAACACCCAATGGGAGGGCCCAGTGCGAGTGAATATTTTAGAGGTTGTATTTTAGTTTTACTCGTTTACGTTTGTATAAGATGAAGCCTTAGGGAATTTGTTTTGGAATTTTAAATTGCTGTTAAAGATTGGTTGGGGTACTAAACTAAATTTCTTTTAACTTAAAGAACTTTTAAGAAACTAATTTAAGTTTAAATTTGTCTGCAGTTTCCATTTTTAAGAATAATATATATTATCAAATATATTTCTGGTCTTAAGATTGATTTCACTCTGAATCTTAAAAGCTTTCAAGAAGGACTTATGTTGTTTTCAAATCTTTGTTTAGATATTTGAAGCTCATTAATCATTTGGATGCATAAATGTCTTAATGAAAAAGGTTTTAAGTCCTAGACAAGGGTTCATTATCTTGCAATAAAGGGCCAATATCCATAAGGGTGTTAGCGGGTTAAACCTTTTAAATAAGACCACGACTGGGGGCCTGGGAAATTGTCTTATGTAAGCATTTGGCATTAATGGGCTAATGAGCGTGTGGAGACACGATGTTGGCATGCAATTGTTTGTATTTTTTCAGCAGGGTTCTGAGTTCAGAAAATCAGAATGCAGAATTCTGATAAAGGTCTGTCAATTGAAGCATTTGTCCCTGGCAATCAAAACGAATCATACTCGAATGATACTTATTTTCACCTTGGATTTGTTACGCCCTCCCTTCCCTTCCCTTGGTTTTTTCCCTTCCCCCTTCCCCCTTTTCCCTTTGCTTTGTTTTTTTTCTTCTCCTTTTTCGCAGAAATTTGCATGCAACTTTTTGCAGCTGGCGTTGGGGCGGCGGCACGTGACTTTGATTGTCATTTCATTGTCTTCGGCAATCATCAAAACGCAAACAGAAATTTTTTCGATTTTAAAGAAACGCTAAAGAAATAGGACTGAGAGGCGAGCTGAGGGGCTGAGCATATGGTTGACAGGGGCCGACGCCGATGTCTGGCGCATCAAAATCGATTGGCAATTTGTCAGCGCTGATTGCAAACATTGCGATACAGAGGAAAGCACCCAGCAAGCTTCAGAGTTTCTATTATAGAGATCGCTGAATTAGATTTGCATGCAAACGAAATAGAATGAGAAGAAATTGGGGGAAAAGTAATAGAAAGAAGACGAAATATAACGAAGAATTTTAGAAGTCTATGTTATGAATATGAAATATTCGTAGAGTAAAGAAAAACCAAAACTAAGCCCTAATCTAACCTTCTTTTAAAGAGTTTGGATGTGACGGAGAAATATGATTTTAAAGGCACAGCAAACATTCATATAACAATGTTTGATATATAATCTTAGCTAACAAAGACCTCTCTAAGACATCTAAAAGCATATTCCCTTTGAAAACACATAATTCTCTCAAAATCCAGTGTGCGTTTCCTGCAATCATAGTAAATATCCCATTCCCATCCCTCACAATTAGGCAGGCTGCACTTGCAGCTTTTGCAGCTGTCAACGCTGCCTCATATATATATTGCAAATAAAGTAATGCCAAGCCCAAAGAACAGTGCCTGCCGTAGCAGGAACAGCAACAAAAACCCCAACAAATTCCGCCGACGGCAGTGCAACTTAATTTAAAATTTATGGTCCCATCGCCGGGCAAGAAAAGCAAAATACCAAAGCCCACATTTTGGCCCACAAGCATAACAAAACCGTCAACCGAGCAGCAAACTGCAGCAAACTGGAAAATGTTGTAAGCACACTTGCTGCTTGTCGTAATTATAATTATGCTCAAAGTGACCCACAAAGTACGAGACTTGAGACAAGCGATATGGCTCTATGGATACATGTCGTTAATCTGACCCACTGAACGGATTTTGTGGTTCGGATTTAATAGATGGCCTCCCTTTATCCCTCTATCTTCTGATGGTTAATTAATATTTGCCCAGCCAACCAGAAAAATAAAGTCAATATGAACGTCCTTCCCTCCCGCAAAGTAGGCAACAGAAAACTATCAGGCAACGGGCAACGCTGCGTATGATTTATGCAGCGTTTCCAGGAGCTGTTGCATATGCATGAGTAGCATTTGTGTGGCAGGAGGGAAAAAAAAATGTACCTGGGCGAGAGAGAGGAGTAAGAGTACAAATAGCACCGCATAACAATGCAAAATGGCGAAAAGCTAACAAACAGTAAATTGAAAAGCCAACTAGAAGGAAGAAAATCAAAAGGAAAACAACGAACTTTAAATGCCCTAGGGTGCTGGCAATAAAGAGAGAGATTTCCTGCCAACTTTGTTCAACCCTTTTAGTCAGGGTATTCTTTCAGTGTAAAACACGAGCAACAGTCATTGGAAGTCTGCCAAACGGTTGAATCCTGTGTGGGTGGGGTATAAAAAGGAGGCGGCGGTGGTAGAAGCAGACCCGAGGTAGGACGTGGAGGACAGCAGCCACCTGGACAATGACAACGCTGATAAGTAGCTGGCGACATGGCAGACCACTTCATTTATCAAAATTTATGACTCTGCCGACATTCACGTGGCAATTTGCGGCTGCAACTGCAGTTGCAGTTGCAACATTGCCACTGCAGCTGTTTCTCTCGCCAACTCCCGAAATTGATAAATTTTTGTTGGACCCCTGACTTAGCCTTGGACTTTTACAGAAGAGGTCGGAAATTGAATTGAATCTTTTGGCAGCGATTGTCACTGACAGCAGGGCTAAGGTCAAGCTCATTACAGCTGACTCAGGAGGCAAGGATATATATCCTTAAGATATATATATATATATATTACAGTTACAACTGGGCAGCCAAAGGCCGCTGTCATTCGTTTTTGATGGCAAGTCGGATTAAATCTCAATGGGGGGATAAATTTTGTTTAGTGGCTGGCAGCCAAATGCAAGAGGCTTTAAGGATCAGATGGTATAAGGGCATTCGTAAGCTCTTCAATGCATCAAAAGTAAACTAACGCTGAGAGGGATAAAGAATATTGTTTGGGATTAAATGAATAAGTTTATAAATAAGGCAGCCCTTAATGTTCAGCTTAACTATGTTTAAAAATAGTTTGAAAATATTTACTAAACCCAAAGAATTTATCCCAAAAACTTTTTCTATAAAAGAAATTTCCATTCTAAGCGAAAAATGTTTACCCTTTGTTTATTTATTTTGGTAACTTTGTAAGCGATTTTTCTTTAGAGCTTCTTCTACGTCGATTTCATGCCCTATTAAGCACTTAAGTAGCTTAACCAACTCTTCAGAATTTCTTCTCCTCTTGCCTCATTTTCCTAAGCCACTTGGCGACCCTTATTCTTCACACTCTGATTTATGCGGAAAACCAAATATCCCATAAAGAAATATGCTGGATATCTTTTTTATAAGTATGTACGTTTATTCTAACAATAAAAATCTTTAATGCATATGCCGCTGGATTCCGCCAAAGCCCGGCTAAGGACTCCATAAAAACCCCTTTTTCTCAGCCACCAAAATGTCTGCATTTACGACGCTGGATTCCATCGGCAAAGACCCAGTGCACCGCACGCTCACGTGGAATTTATGGGCTGGCCACGCCCCCAATCGCTGGTTTACCTCCTTCTATTTGGTTTTCTTCTCGGTGGAAGAATGATGAAGGACGTAGGAAATGAAATGAATGCCAAGAAATGGCTCTCCTCTTGGTGGAAAACTACCACCTCCTCTCATGCCTCGCCATTCCGTTTTCAATTCAAAGTCACGTAAATAAAAGTCGGACTTTTGGGGTGCATAAAATGTAGGTCTGAATATTCTGGGAGATGGAAAACTAAACATTTAGCTGAGAAAAACTACTTAAGAGGAGGGAAAAATATTTTACAAAAAATTTAAAAAAGAGAGAGATTTCCTTCCTCTATTTTCTCTCTGTGCAAGGAGTTAGCCTTATAGTCTGGCCCAAAGATAGTTTCCATTTCAACGATTAACCCACTTGAAGACTTCAATGAGTTTTAAGCCAAGCCAGAAAATGTCTTGAAATTGTGCTCGAAATTGTGTCATGCAAAAATAAACTGGGAAAGTTCTTACTTAGCAAAGGAAAAGCCTTAAGCCAAGGAGGATGCTTTCCCAGCCACCGATGCTTCTAATTTATTTAATTATTTATGCTTTTCCCTTTTTGTGTGTGGCATGCAAATGCAATAAGGAGCACACGTTGCAAGAAAAGCCGAAACGAAATTGAGTTTTCATGTTGCAGCCCCTACTCAGCCAAGGATATATACAGATATATACGTCTATATGTATCTGTGGCATATTAGAGATGAATGCGAAGCTGTTAGGATGAAAAATCGCTGACAGTAAAGCGAGGGCAGGCGCTCTTAAAAGCTTTCCACTTGCTTTTCGCAGCATTTTCCGGAAAATGTGTCTCACAATTTGTTGGTTTTGCGCCAAAGTTTCGACATTCATCACTTCGCTGGTGATAAGCCATTCTAATGAGCCTGGCTGAGGACCAAGGACACCGGAATTAGTTCCCGGGCCAAAGGGCAGGGTTCAGTTCTTGTGGGAATAATTGATTTGTAGCAGTCGTTAAGCGAGATTAATGGTTTTTTCAGCCAATCTCCAATAAATAAATACTTCACTGGTCCCCCGAAAACAGATTCATATTCATTTTATTAGCCCCAAAAAGGAATCGATGAAGGACATTCTCTGCCACCATCAAGCCCTAACCAAAAAAAAAAACACAATCAGAAACCACATCCTTCCCCCTCACTTTCTCTAATTGCTTTTTGTGGCTTCCAATATGGTCAGTATGGAAAAAATTAGTCGCAAATTACTACGGAAATTGACAAATTTCAAAAACAAGCGCATAAATAATGGCCATAATTAGCAGTAGTTGACCAACTCGAAAGAACCGCACACACCGGATGCTAGATTTGGTGGGTGTAGTGGGTGTGTTTGTCCTGTCAAGGCCATTGCCTTTTATATATTTCCATAACAATTTGCAATTTATGACACCAGCTCAAAAGCACACAAAGAAAAAAAAATGAAACGAGTGTGGGTGATAAATTGATGGGAAAAGTGGAAAGTCGGGAAAATATGCTTAAAATTGAGCTGAAAATTTGATTATTTTTAAAGGAAAAAAAGGGCATGGAAAGCTTAGAAACTACTTCTTCATAAAAGATTTTAATATCTTCTTTATAATTACTTTTGAAAATAATAATCGACCTTGAATGGCATTACCATGCTCCTAAATCATGACTACTTTATCTTTCTAACAGTGATCTAAATTAAATAAAATAATAAACATAAACATCGAAACGATTGATTGATTATGATGATTTATGATTTTCCGAAAAAAAAAGCTAGTGGCCCAAAGCAGGGAATCCCCTACTGCCTCGAGCCTCAGAACATTTTTGCATAATAAATTTCTCAATTTTTTGATTTTGTATTGTTGCCTTGGTTGGGGGTGAGGGCTGTAATTTTTCGTTGGCCCAAAAGATGTGTCAACGGCAGCACCATAAATATCAACCAACCCATACCCTTCTGTCTGGGCCTTTTGGTCTTTTGAAATCAGCACATCGTATGAATAATGACAGTAGAAATTATTTAGGGATTTTTCATATTGTCGCTCGACAATGGAACGCAGTTTGACTGCCAGTTGAGTGACAGGCGAACGTGGTCGTCACATATCAGCGATCATAACCGAAAAAGGCTTAAGACAAAATGCTATTTTAAGGGTAATTTATGGCCATAAACGTGAGTTGGCATTCGGTGGCGGCACCTGAAGAAAGAAATGCGTTTCCAGTTTCAGTTTGTTAGAAGAAGTCGCCACGACAAGCAGAATGTGTCAGAATGCAATGGAAAAAGCCTGGGAGATGGGCCAATTTAAACTGAACATGGACTTTGAGCCAAATGTTCTCGATTGCGAAAGAACCAATATGAAACGTACCAAATTGGCCACCCTGATGCACTGGCTCAAGAAGCTCAACGACTGCCCACCGGAGCCCCTAAAATGTGACTATATGAGTGAGTGCCACAAATGGTTGGGGATATATATATATATGATTTACCCCCTATTTGCCTTATGCCGCCTCTAAGTGCAAACCAATTTCGTATAATTTGTGAAAATGTTCTTTCGATTCTTGAATTTTGTGCGTGCTCTTGGCCATTTGCCATCGTTGGGATCAAGAAAGGGCAGACTATATCCCCTAGCCTGCCTGTTTGTTATTGGAGGTTATGGCCACTAGTGTTGTGTGTCAGCATACCCGTATAATGGCAAGGAATTATTTATACATCAGCATTTTGGCTCTGGCCAATGGCTAACAAGTTTTTATGCCTCAATTGCCGATTTTGGTAGTGGGGGATTGTTGGTATGGGTGTGTTTGTCGTAATTGCATATGTTAGCCGCTTTATTGTGGTCAGATCTTATGCAAATAACAAATGTCCTGGCCAAATTGTGGGTAAATGGCCCAAGGAAGTGGCTTTAATCGTAATTAATTACGATCCAATATATAGATAAGTGCTTAATTTCAAATTTATTGTTTGAGTTTCGGTTAATTAATTTTAGATCGAAGGCAAATAAACGTTTGAGTTTATGAGTGTATATTATGAAATATTAATAAGATGCGGAAGAATTATCGTTATTATCGTTATTATGATTCATGTTAATTATAAAAGAATTTCTCATTCAATTAGTGAAATACTCCTATGTAGCCAGCGTAAAAACGCTATATAAAGAACATTTCTTATCGAATTTATTTGAATTCCGTCACAACTTCACTTCTCAATAAGCTGTTAAATCAACTTATCAGCCAGGCTGCAGTTTTCTTCGAGAGTGCAGAAACCAAGTAAGCATCAGTTCCTTGCAAGCTTTTAAGTTCAGTGGTTGTACAATGTTTATATCATACTTGTTGGTTACATTTCTGATCCTGGTTCTCCAAGGATATCCTGCAAAATCTCAAGAAAGTGCTGGTTCCGTATGTCTCCTCAAAGACGCCCCCAATCAATGCGGGGCCTTTTGCCTGTCCGCCTTGGCGCCGCTCTACGATCACATGGCCAAGCTCAAGACTAGCTTAAATCAAACCCATTCGAAGCTGGACAGACTGGAAGTCCAGTTGTCGGCCGTGCAGGAAATACTAAAACAAAGTCGGAAAATCGAATATCCAAGGTTCAAGCAAATCGGATCCAAATCCTTCTATGTTGAGCGCAATAAGGTTGCGCGTTTTTCAGAAGCTGAGCAAAACTGCCAGGATATGGGAGGATCTTTGGCGACACTATTCCATAGAGAATTCGATTACCTTGATCTTAATAAAAATACAGAATACTGGATAGGCGACTGTCTTAATTGCCATGGGGTTCCTGAGCCTTATAGTAACGACAATGAAAATTACATGAATTTGCCAAGAGGAGTTCCTCAGCATGATCCTAATGAAATGTTTATTCCCCAAACCGAAAGGAAGACAATAATTGATAGTCCTGATAAGCTAATTTTTTCGCCAATGGTTCGAGGATGTTACATTAAAAATGGCTTAAATGCTTGTTCTCTGAATTTCAATTATGATTTCCATTATATTTGCGAAAAATAAATAAGAAAAAAAATGTATGATTATGTATCTTTAAGTTTTACAGAATTCACTGTCACAAATCCTAACCTATCCTAAAACTTAAACTAAATTAATCAAACAAATGTCTTTCGAAAATTATTCCAGCTTAGTGGCTTAAATAAACCCCCCAACAAATGTTATATATCCGATATATATATATATATATTTTTTATTTTAACGCTCTCCGTTTTATAATCATAAAAAAATAAAATTGCGAAACTTTGTTTACCATAAAAGTTTGCAGCACGACTGAATGGGAGAATAATCAGCAACTGTCGCCATAAACCTCGATGCAGTTTCTCCTTCTACTAGCTCTGATTTCTTCTTCTTCTTCTTCTTTGTACAAACATGGCCAAAACGCACACATACACAGACAGACAGAGGAAAACCAAACACACAAAAACACACACACAGATGTATTATAAACAGTTTCCGGCCACAACATTTACGCGCATTTTCATTGCGATTTCGGTGCTGGTTTTGGGGCTGCTATTTGGTATTTACACGTAATTTGCACAGCATTTTTCAATTTTATGTGCTCGGAAATGGTATGACGTCGTTATTTATGTTCTGCCTTTGTGCAGGGCATTTCCCTTCATCATTTTCCCCTACCTCTTTCTCTCATGTTGGCTGGCCATAAAGTGACGAAAACAGCTGCGAAAATTGAAACTGATGCAGGCTGAGCTAAAATGCTGACACAGATTTACTTGCCATTTTTGGTTTTACCATTTTTTCCTGACTTGCTATAATGGAATTTTTAAATTCTGTATTGGTATAAAAAATGAGCTTAAAGTAATCTTTCATTGCCCTGCGTAACCGTCATTGGGGTTTCTCAGGAATTTGATTGGTATTTACTGCGTGATAGATGGGGGTTTAGTCCACTCCCCATCGTCCACTGCCAATAGCTCGTAGTTTCCCTGCCCATCATCAATCGACTATCTTTGAAGGCCCCTTATCAAAATCAAAACACCAGCTAAAGTGTATTTCTTTTATTATCATTCGAATAGATTGACAGCTTGGACACATGATGGCTGGGTGTTGCTGAGAAAGTCAGCAAATTCTGGGGGCTGTCATGTGAGTGTTAGTCATGGAAATATTTTGGGAAGGGTATTTCGAGGTTTAAAGATGACCTTTTGACTTTAAGACTGGTCGTTGGAAGCACAGAACTCCTGGGAATTGAAGTAAATTCCAGTCTTTCAACTACAATAGTTATCTTATCTAAATTAAATCACACCCCTCTACACTGTACAAAAAACCCTTGCTATTCTTAGCTGACAGAGTCATGTTGTGACTGTCAACGCAGGCAAATCTAATAACCAAACTAGACAATGTCATAAATTAGGAACACCGTTTCCATTTCCAGTTAAATGATGGCTGATGAGTGAGGAAGACAAAGCTGTAACTAACAATTAAGATAGCATTTGCCTAGGTAAACCTCAACTCAACTCAATAAAAACTGAATGGGAGACGACGAGTGCCAGGGGAATTTTAGTTTTTGGGGAGGGAAAAGCTAGCAGAGCTAAGACAATCACGTGCCAAGCACCAACTTCCTCATGAACAACAACAACAACAATAACAGAAATGGTGGAAGTTACGACCAGCTTAAACGCACAGCAAAATGAAACTAAAATGGGGGCGAAGGAGGAGATGCTACTAGTAAATTTATGCACACGTTAAGCAGCTCATAACGGGTAACTTAAAAGCCAACTAAAGATTCACAATGGCAATGGGGAAATGGCGACACTTTCTCCCTAGAACAGCACTTGAGTGGGCCATGAAAACGGAATTCATTTAAATTTATGAACCATGGAATTTCATTCGGATCAAGGGGGTTACACTGACTGCCACTTGGCCAAATTGTTTATGGGATTATGGAGGGTCCTCCCGTCTCGATAAAGCCGTAAATCAAATCTAAGGAAATTAATCTAGATAGGCAGGGAGTTGGAGAGGCAACATAAACAAAGTGGATGATTAACATTAAGACAGCAGAGGGATAAATATAGTATCATTAGGAGTAATCTCTACTCAATAAGTATTCATATTAAGATTTCTTCTCTTTCCAAAATAGACCAAAAAATCAATGAAAATTAATAAAAGTATATATGAATCCATTTATATTTTTCCTCACTGTACCATTGTGGTTTCATAGTGCATTTCTTTGCCTGATTAACTTTGTTTTTGCCAAGCACTTAGTGGCAAGTTGCGTGTTTGTTTGCCGCAATCCAAATGGCTGTAATGTTGCATGCAACCAGAGGGGAAGTGGAGCCGTTGGGGCTGGATAGTTTGGCCTGTGGCAGGGTCATCTCACATAGCTAAGCCAGCTCCCCCCCTTACAGCATGACAACTGCGGTGAATAAGGGGCTACCAGGGGGTTGTCTGGGAAATGGAGGCAGCTTAGACACATGTAAATCACATTGGATCCCTGGAGCTCTCCTGCCAGTTAAAGCCACAAAAATGAAAGCCCTTCAAATGTGGATGCACCTGAGATGCGGGATTTTGGCTAACTAACAAAAGGAATTCCAAACAAATTTATTTTCTACTTTGTTATGGAAATTAGTACAAAAAGTATTCAAGGATTGTATACCAGTGGCAAGATTAGTCATTAAAAACAGAAATGACTTTCATTATCCTTTTGAATTGCCATAAATAAAGTGTCAAAATCAGTTTACAGAGAATGGTAATAACTTGTATTTCTATTTAACACTTTAAACTTGAAACTGAAAGGGAAAATCAAATGCAAAGCCTTTGAAAAGACATTTACCCCTTTGCATTCAACAACTTATAAGCGACCAATTAGTCGGAAGCCGCAGGACGAACAGCAAAAAGCGAATGACTTCCGGATGCCAAAGTCATACTTTTTCCCTGGAGTAACTTCTAGGACTAAGGGAGCTTGGGGCAGCTGACAGTAGAGGGAATTCCAAGAACAGGAATAACACATAATCAATAAAAAGTCGAGCGGTGAACAGAACACGCAGCACCGAAAGGAAATAAAGGACTCAAACGTGAACACAAACTATGAGAAGTAACAAAAGTTAGTTAGTACCACGGAATGGAATACTAGATACCCTAGAAATAAAGTAGAAATATTAAAGTTACTATAAACTGATGAAAGATGTTTTAATATATACAATGACAAGAAGTTTTAACTAGAAAAGAAATACAAATATTTAAGAATAAAAACAAATATTAACCTTTCTCAACCTAAAATAGAACCAATATCCCCCATCTAGATCCTGACATTTTATAGGAAAACCCATAAAAATGAACCACTCAGTCTGTGGCTTTTTATTTGTGGGCTGTTTCACGTTTTTCCCGTTGTTTTTGTTGCTCTTTTTCTTTCAGCTTCGGGGGAACATTTTCGATTTCATTTTCACTTGCTATTAATTGGTCGAGCCGTGAGGAACTTTCAGTGGCCAGTGGACA